GCTCAGGAAAAAGTTTCTTCAAATAACCTCAGGAATCCCTCATTCCTCGGAAGTACCATAATTTTGGGACACGCTGTATATTGTCAGGTAGAACAAGTGTGCAATTAAATCAGTATTAAATCCAAAATTTATGCAAAAGAGAAATTGCCTCCATTAATTTCCTGCATTAAATGCTGAAACCCACGTAGACATTTATTTTGCTTTCTTAATAAATGTAACGAGTCGATAACGATGCAATAACATCTTCAAATTGTTTAAATATTTGTATTATTTTGCATTTGATCTATACATTTTCGGCACAAATGCATAAAATCGGCAATCTAATAACGTCCGAACGTTTAGCGAACACAAAACACCGAGAAACAAGAAACGCAGTTCGCCTCGGCAATGCGATTATACCGACCGATTCAGCGTCGGCTTCCGTCGGGCTGAAATAATTGCGCGCGTAAATGTTTAAGCGGCGCGAGTCACGGGACGATCGTCAAGAAGACGGAAGATTCGCTTAGCGTCGGAACGTCGGGAGGGAAGACTAATTTTTCCAGTAACACATGCGGCACGCGACGGAAAATATGTTTCGCCGCCATTAATTAAACGTTCCGCCGTTTCGCCGGTACCGGGGATATTTATTTGATTGCAGGCCGGGTGGCGGTAGTCAGAGGGCCGGGGACGGGACGGGACGCGAATCTGCATAATATTTCTTGGCCCCTATAATTCTGGGCGGTTCTCTCGCCCCCGGACAAAGAGAAACGGCCGAAGCCGCTGGGCGGCCGACGCGCCGTAGAGAAAATCCTCGGTAGCGTAATTGAAATTCCGGCCCGAAGCGGCTGCTCTCGCGCTTAATTACACGTTAACGTAATTAATCGTCCGACGTCTACACGTATCCGCGAATGTCAATAGCAAGTTCGCGTGCGCCCCGCATTTACGCGGGGAACGGGGGCCCGGATTATTCGATTACAGTCGTCATCAACAGCCGGAAATGACGGTCCGCTAATATCTCTATTAATTAGTTGTAATACGGCGTGCACCGTGGGCGGCTCGATGCCGAAAATCTAGGTCGCACGGGATTACCCTCGGACGTACCCTACTTTAAGGTAGCGCTATAATTATTAGGTCGACTCGTAAATGACTTCCGTTTTTCATCTGAGATTTATTTTGTTCTTTTTATTTATTTATTTTGCTATTTTTCATTTATTTATTTTGTTTTTTATTTATTTATTTTGCTACTTTTCATTTATTTATTTTGTTTTTTATTTATTTATTTTGCTATTTTTTATTTATTTGTTTTGGTTTTCTATTTGTTTATTATTATTATTTATTACTATTTATATATAAATAGTATATATATTTCTATATATAATAATAATAATAAATGATATATGTATATAATATATATAATATAAAAAATATATAATATAATGTGTAACATAATATATATTATATATAATATAATATGTAATATAATATATATAATAATAATAATAATTATTATTATTATTATTTATTATTTTTTTCTTGTTTTTCTATTTTATTTATTTCGCGCCCTTATCTATTCATTGCGAGCAAAAACTCATGTGTCCTTCGTCCAATTACGGCCGGGTGCGAACCCCGGTAAATCAAGCTAAATTTCAGATCGAAGGAGTGGGGATAGGTCACGTGACGCACCGGGACTGCCACGAGAGGAGTGGGGAGCGACAACGTTGGCGTAACTGTTGCACGCTCGACGCCGATTTGCGATTGGTCGTCAACGTAGCTGTTTTTCGTTGAGATATCGATCGATCTCTCGTTCCGTTCGTTTTACCGCCGATTAAAAAGCAGGTCGACAAATGAACTGAACGATGCGCGACAATACGAAAGGAAACGTTCGCGGCGTGTCGTGTTTGCGTCCGCAGCGATAATGAATACGCGACGAAATGAATAATCGGTCGACGGTGTATAAATAAACATTTCGTTTTGTTTTTTGCACGCAGAACGAGCCACGTGATAAAAATAAAGCTGCGCACCGTGAACACGTATTGGTGTCGATATTTATGGACACGTGAAAAAAAACCCGTCTAGGTCGATCGTTCGAGGGATTTCACGAAGAAAGAATCGTTGACCGAGATGTGCTATATATTTTTTTGATGGAGGAAAGATGATGATAATAATAACTAGACTGCGGATTTTATGCATTTATGACAAAAGTGTGCAGCTAAAGACATAAGATGAATTTTGTAACACGGTTAACGCTATTCGTAGTTTATCATAATGATTGACAGAAACATTTTATTTTTATTTCATTTCTGTTTCAAAGAATAGTTTCGGACAATTTTTATTTTGCATAAATATCCGCGGTCTAGTAATAGACCTGCGTTTGTTTTTCGATTGACGTCGATCAAAATCAGCTAAATTTTTATAGTGTCAGTGGAGCGTACTACCAACTGTTTTATTATACAATTTTATAGTACTTGCCTAAGTATTCTATTAAAATTTTATAGTACTTACCTAAGATAAGTCTTTTGTTATCAAATTGTATAGTACTCATCTATAGTGTTCTATTAAATTTTGATAGTACTTATCTAAGTGACCTATTAAAATTTTATAGTACTTTCCTAAGTGTGTTATTAGAATGTTTTATATCATTGATCTAAATTGACTTATTAAAATTTTACAGTACTTATCTAAACGTCATAATAAAATTTTATATCGCATATCTAAAATGAAATATTAAAATTTTACAGTACTTATCTAAATGACTTAATAAAATATCATATCGCTTATCTGAAATGAAATATTAAAATTTGATAATACTTATCAGAGTGTTTTTATGAAAATTTTTTAATACTTATCTAAATATCTCATTAAAATTTGATTATCTGTTACAGAAGAGCCTGTGTCCTAGAATATACTAAATTCTTATTCCCAACAACAGATTGATGAAAGATTGTTTCGAGTGTACGATAAGAGAAATGAAAAGATAACGAATCAGATAATTATTAATTGGGGAACTGTTAAGAGAAACAGACAAGGTACGAGAGAATAACAAAACAGAGAGAGAGAAAGAGAGAGAGTGGGGGGAGGGAGAACCGAGAGAGAATCGGACCAAAGGTGAAGAACCACAGATACAATAGGATCTGTGTCTCTTGATAAGTCGAGTAGATAAGCATAGGATGCTTAACAACAATACGTATCAAGAACAATAGTCGTTAAGAACAATAGATGTTAAAAAACAATGGGTTAAATTAGACTAGGGACAAAAGCGCGTAACCGTATAAAACCGGAAGTCATCCTGATCTGAATGCAAGGATTATAATAAATACCGCGATGTACATAAACAGCATTGTGTACCAAATGTTTACAAGAAGAAGGTGACTTACAATTTACAGAGAAATATATTCAGTGAACCATTTTAGTTATAAGAAGAAATTCGTATCACGTGAACTTGGCGGTTATAGCTCTACTATTATTATTGTATAAAATTTCCCCCGCTATAAAAACCAAAAAAAATTATTATTATTATTATTATTACTTTTCTATTTTTATTATTATTATTTTTTATTATATATTTTTATTCTTATTTACTTATTTATTTAATTGTTTTTCAAGGATCAGTCTAATAACAATTTGCCGAGATCATTCTTGGCTGTTACAATATCACATATAGCTAATTTTTATAGCTCTACTACTCTCATAGTTCCTGTAAAGAACAACAGATTTGACACCGCTGAGAATTACAGCTATGGCGGAGGAGTAATGGCGCGGTCTGAAGTTTGCCGCTAATGATACACGGAAATCCAGTTTACAAAAGTTTAGCTGAATCGAGGGAGACGCGCTGTGCAAATTACAGACGGAAACTTGGTTTTGCAACAGGATCGATGCAAGTGTTCACGCTGCATAGTCTTCAAGAAAACAGAAATAACCAGGATGACCAGCCATGTTCGAACATCATGAAAAATCTCTGATTTAGCTGAATCAACACACGCCGCGATTCAATTACAATTTATTGGTGGTAATCTAGATTCTACAAGTGTGCTGTGTCGTTGTATACTAAGTTCCTGTTGATTGGAATAAGATAAAACTAGGTCCGTGGGTCAAAGCAATCGACCTTACCCAAGGACCTGGATAAGGTTAGGTCATCAACACGTTCTCTAGCGGCGTCGCTAGCGTACCTGGTTAAGCTTACTGTACTTATCATGATAAATTAATTATTTGATTAATCTTTACTTGTATATTTGTACTAATGTTTTTAATTTTTTTTCTTTTTAATGTTTACTTGTATTATTATTTGTATTTATCGTATTAAAATACGTCGTATCATCATGTAAAATGCGACAAGAACGTCGTCAAAGAGTCGCCATAGATTCTCCAAGTGTCTCCAAGTGTGAATTTTAACGCTAAACCTATTTTAGCGCTAAAAACAACTGACACGCGTTATTTTCTAAGAATTACAGGCTTAAAATTTACGTCTAAATAAACGTCTTATCATTATTATTATAATTATTAACATTATTATTTGAATACAAAATGTGGAACCGAACATTTCGATTTTGGTGTTAAATAATTATTAGTCTGCGGATCTGATGCATTTATGGCATAAATAAGTAGGTATAATTGAAAATAGCGAGAAGATTGAAAGAAATTGGGAACGTTGCTATACTTAGCTTCATTTTATTAAAATTATTTACAGAAACAAATAAAATTGCGCTCGGCTCGTTTGTCCTTGTAATTGATACAGGACATTTTTATTTGTTGCACAAAGGTCCGCGGTCTAGTAATTATATTTGTAAAATTAATTCGTTGCTTTCCGTGCGAAATCCGTCGTGGTCGTCACGCACATGTGACGTTGGGATAGGAAACCCGTCAAGTATAAAATATATATAAATATAATTTATATATATGTATATATATAAATTATATTTATAAATAATTTTTAGTCTTAATAAATTTTAGTTTTATATATATATAATTTCGCTGCGAAATCCGTGCTTAACGGCTTAAGGAAAATAAAGAAGTGGTTCGCTCACCATATCAGATGGACGACGAACAGGAAAGCTCCGGGCACGACGAGGTCGTCGCTGCCGACGCTCCATCGGCGTCGGAATACCACGATACCAGGCATCTCTTCTCTCAGCTCCCATTCAATCGCCTAGAGTGCTCCGGCGAACCGGGATCGGCCGATTTTCGTCCTCGAATCACCGGGCCCGGGCCTGCAGCTTGCACCGATATCCCTTCGAAGCCCGACACTGGCGCCGTTCGCATCCTCCGGGTCGTCGCCGCGTACCGAGACGCGCATTTCCGTAGCTATCGTCCTGCCGGCCACGAGTCCTCCCCATCCTCTTCCGAGGCCAGGCGTTAGCTACTATTGTTCACGAGCGGATGGAACGGCAACGCCGCCGCCCAACGACAGCGCATATCCCAACGAACAAGTTTCGCAGAATAACGTTCCGAAGGGTCGTTCGTCGTCGAATTCTCAACACTTGTCACTTGCTCACTGGCTCGCGAACGATCTACCACTGGACCGGTCGAACACTACTGCTGGGCCAACCGAGACCCTCGGTTCTTTCCTTTTTCTTTTTCCGCAGGCAAACGGAAGACGCTCGGACGATTAACATCCGCTATCTCTCGCGGTCACGTGTCGGCATCCGTTCGTCGCGTTGCTGACACAGTGGAGCCTCAACGCGTTCCGGATGGACACGGTCGTCGGCGAGACGTAATCATCGTGCCCGATGGTGTTGATCGAGTTACGGTTTCGGTCGGAATTGAAGGTGTATAGAGTTTCTTTATCTGCGAAGTTATATCCGAGGCTAAGAGGCTGCACCGAGGGACCAGACTGGGAGACGTAACCTCGGACGGCGGACCATTTTCTCGACTATACGATCGACGATGTTTCAAACAATTCCGTGCTTTATTCGACAGTTTTTCCGAACATATTTTTAAAGGTATTTCAAGCAGACCGCGGATCTTTCCGCAAAATAAAAATTAGTTTTATCGATTGCAACAAGCATGAGTCGAACAGAGAGTTCTCTTTCCCTCGTTACCAATTTCAGTGAGGTGAAAATAACACACACGTGCCCTTAAATTCTTTCAATATTTACGTCCTTTTAAACTTCGCCTGTCCGTTCTTATCGTGAACGCATAAAATCCGCAGTCTACTTATTAATAGCACACGTTAATTATAATCATTAATCGAAATGGTAACACGTCTAAATAAATTCGGTCTTGTGATTCTTCTTCTAAAACAACACACGTTCGACGTCTTTAGCCTACGGTAGGTTCAGTGTCAAACATTTCTTTTTACGAACGACAGTAATCACTTGTCACACTGCGCCTCGACATCTTTGTCTTCCTGCTTTTAAAGCGGCGTGAAAAATAAGAAGGAACAAAGTTCTACTAATTTGTATGAGACGATAAGATAATGTTGCAGAGATTCACGCGATCTGATCGAGATAATCATAATCTCGCTTCTTTTCGCAGCTGAACTCGTGGTTGTTTCTTTTGTTCAACCGTTTAAGCTCCGCGCATGTTTACGCTAACGGAACCGATCGCGGTTTTTACACTCCGGAAAGCAAAAGTATTCTTCGTAAACGCGAATGCTACGGGACGCAAATAGAAAGCTGCGCTTGCAGTCATTGTCGCGCCGAGCCTCGGGTGAAGCGTTCAAACGAGAGCTGATATGTATTTGACAATTTTTTTTATAACACGAGACCGTGATGAATTTTATCGCCACTTGGCACACGTATTCTCTAACATTTCAAGATACAAAATATCTTTCTTTTTCGTTACGTTTTATCGACATTTAACGAGATGGTACGTGTGTTATTCTTTATCGAACTCCTCGTCGACGGCGTGCAGTCTAGCGTCTATTTCCTTCGATTCAGAAGGAAATATCGAACTCCATTTTCTTCGCGATAGTATAACGCGTCGTATAAATTGAACTTCTCCTTCGAAAAATGCAAAATTGCCGAAGATACGCGTCTACGAACGCAGAAAGAATGACACAGTTTAAATAATTATTACTAATAATTTAATTCGCTGCCAATAATTATTACCAATAAACATAGTTCAAATAATTATTACTATCAAGGATGTTAGTTCGTACGACGCGTAATACAATCACGACGAAAACGTCGTTCGACTTTTCTTTCTAAATGGAAGGGAAAGAACGCTACGCTGCACGCCGTCGACGATAAAAAAATAACAGACGTACTATTTCATTAAGAGTCGATAAAATGTAACGAAAGGAAAGAACATTTTGTATCATTTTATTTAAGAATATACGTGTCAAGTGGCGATGAACTTCATTAAGGACTTGCTCTTGTAAAAAAATTGCCAAATATCAGCTCTCGTTTGGACGCTTCGCCGAGTCTCCTCCCCTTAAACAACAAACTTTCTAGCAAGACGACGCGGGCCGAGGGAATCTTATTTCGAAGAAGAAGCTGTGTGCCGGACGGGCCGACGAGTACGACAGTACTTAGCAGCGACGTTTACGCCTGTAAGGCGAGGCTTTAAATCCCATAGGATGCCCGGAACGGCGGAGACAACGCCGGGACAGGCCAGGACCTCGACGACGAGTTCTTTGGAACCGGAGCCGCGGCGGAACGGGCTCTTTATACCGCAGTTTCTCACATGGAATCAATGGGACCTATTAAGGGAGTCGCGAGACCTTAAAGAAAGGCCGCCGTGTTCGCCCGGCGCGGCATTAAAGCGATGGTGACGTAACGCCTCTTGTAAGAAGCGGCGAGATTAATCTGCCCGAAGGAAGAGAACGGAACTAATTTAAAAAAAGAAAAAAGAAGATTCTCGGCTACCGCGGAAGGCGGCAAGTTCATCATCGCGGAGGCACAATCGATACTAATCAACTTGTCCTCGTCTGAATTAGTCGGCCTGCTTGCGAAACGAGCAGAGATTACGCTTAATCCGTCGGCCTGCGGTCGCCGGGTCCTCTGCGACCCGATACATTTAAATCGTCACCTAATCAATCGATTTTCGGCAATTGAATGAAATGAATGGTTGGTCGGACTGGCGACGACAAAGAAACCAAGAGGTCTGCGTGAAATACGGGGAGTAAATAATTAGAGACTCGAAGTAACTTTTACACTTTCGGTGACGATTTAAACAAAAACTTGACGAAATGTCATATTTGTATATTTCTATTTTTTTTTGCTATTTCTGATACAGGAATATATAAATATTGTAATTCTTTTCTTGGTTTCTGGTCAAATATCTGCGAAAATGTAAAAGTTATATTGAGTTTACAATTATTCACAGCATTGTAGATGATATTTTAGTCGAGTAATATTGTATATTTAAAGAAAAGAGACTCAACAAAATATCATATTTGTATATTTCTACTTTCTATTCATTTTAATACACTAACATATTGTAATTCTTTTCTTGGTTTCTGTTTAAATATCTGCGAAAATGTAAACATTATATTAGGTTTACAATTATTCACAACACTGTATTTAAAGAAAAGAAACTCAACAAAATATCATATTTGTATATTTCTAGTTTCTATTATTTCTAACACAGAAATATACAAATATACAATTATTTTCTTGGTTTTTGTTCAGATAACTGTAAATATGTTAAGTTTACATTGGGTTTACAATTATTCACAGCACTGTAGATAATCTCTTTTAACTGAATAATTCAGTATATTCGAAGAAAAAGAAACTCAACAAAATATCATACTTGTACATTTCTATACTGGAAATAATAGAAACTAAAAATATATAAATATGATATTTTATTAGTTTTCGATTAGGATATCAGTAACGATGTAAAAGTTGCTTCGACTCTAAAATCATGCACGCCGCTGCATCTTCGAAAATACGTTCGGAAAAATAGTCGAATGAAGCGCGGAATTGTTATAAAAAAAAGAGAAAAAAACCGTCGATCGTACAATTGTGAAAATGGACCGCCGTGTCCGAGGGTTAATCCCTCGCGTGAAATCCCTCGTGAAATTACCTGTTTGCGCACTGTGTTCCCGATGATCACCGACAACTAAACTTCCTCACGGAGTTTCGTCAGCTCTCCCGAGCAGCCCCGGTGTACAGTCCACACCGGTGTCTATCGTTGAACGGTACAGCGTCCCTCTTGATTTCACAGCACTAACAACAATAAGAGTCTCCGGCGGCAGTGACGGCCAGTCTCAACGATGACTCGGTGAAATCGCACCGCTGCTTCCGCTGGCGTGGTTCGCTAGATTCGGAAACCCCATAGCGGCCTCCCCCATCGGCGCGTTCCCACCGGCAAAGCCGATCGGGCCGGCGTTACCGTGCACGGTGCCAGAACGCCAGCGAGTCCACCCCCATCGTTTCGTCGGTCTTGTCCCCGTTCCGTCGTTCCCGTTCGCGCATCTCAACCGCGGAGCCAGGGCCGACGACGCCGCGCCACGTGCGGCCGTGGCATGATGTCCGCGACACACCGTGTTTATCGCGACGCCGGAAACGCTTATCACCCCGGTGACCGTCGAGGTGAGCCACCTCGAGCGCAACTGAACAACGATATTTCAGACGTCGTGCAACCACCGACGACGGGGGCGCTCAATTTACCACGGCCGGCGCGCAGGCGTCGCGACGCCTGCTCCCGATGCCTCGTGCCGCGGACGACGCGACGCGACGCGTCGCGTCGCCGCTACTCGACATCGTCGTCACAGTGCTCACATCGTTGATCCTGTCGGATGAAACGTGGACGGGAACGTATTTTTTTCCGATTCGATGCGGTATGGCCGTTCACGAGCATCCGGGAATACACTGAATAAAAAGAATAATGCATGATAGGGCGTCAAACACCGTGCCAGACTCGGGACTCGTCCAAATACACTCGGGCTGGAATCATCGCAAAATTAGAGGCAATAGAAAAGCGAATATATAGTTGTTATCTAGTTGTTTCGAATAGCAATAATAGTTTAACAATGTTCATAGTACTAATGGTTTAATGGTTTAAGAGTTTAATAGTTCAATAGCTTAATAGTTTAATAGTTTAATAGTTTAATAGTTTAATAGTTTAATAGCTTAATAGTTTAATGGTTTCATAGTTTAATAATATTGACAGTACTGATAGTATTAATAATATTAATAGTATTAATGGTATAAATGTTGTAAATGGTACAAATCGTATAAATCATATAAATGGTACAAATAATATAAATAATATTAATAGTATTAATATTATAAATCGTATAAATCATATAAATGGTACAAATAATATAAATAATATTAATAGTATTAATATTATAAATCGTATAAATCATATAAATGGTACAAATAATATAAATAATATTAATAGTATTAATATTATAAATCGTATAAATCATATAAATGGTACAAATAATATAAATAATATTAATAGTATTAATATTATAAATCGTATAAATCATATAAATGGTACAAATAATATAAATAATATTAATAGTATTAATATTATAAATCGTATAAATCATATAAATGGTACAAATAATATAAATAATATTAATAGTATTAATATTATAAATCGTATAAATCATATAAATGGTACAAATAATATAAATAATATTAATAGTATTAATATTATAAATCGTATAAATCATATAAATGGTACAAATAATATAAATAATATTAATAGTATTAATATTATAAATCGTATAAATCATATAAATGGTACAAATAATATAAATAATATTAATAGTATTAATATTATAAATCGTATAAATCATATAAATGGTACAAATAATATAAATAATATTAATAGTATTAATATTATAAATCGTATAAATCATATAAATGGTACAAATAATATAAATAATATTAATAGTATTAATATTATAAATCGTATAAATCATATAAATGGTACAAATAATATAAATAATATTAATAGTATTAATATTATAAATCGTATAAATCATATAAATGGTACAAATAATATAAATAATATTAATAGTATTAATATTATAAATCGTATAAATCATATAAATGGTACAAATAATATAAATAATATTAATAGTATTAATATTATAAATCGTATAAATCATATAAATGGTACAAATAATATAAATAATATTAATAGTATTAATATTATAAATCGTATAAATCATATAAATGGTACAAATAATATAAATAATATTAATAGTATTAATATTATAAATCGTATAAATCATATAAATGGTACAAATAATATAAATAATATTAATAGTATTAATATTATAAATCGTATAAATCATATAAATGGTACAAATAATATAAATAATATTAATAGTATTAATATTATAAATCGTATAAATCATATAAATGGTACAAATAATATAAATAATATTAATAGTATTAATATTATAAATCGTATAAATCATATAAATGGTACAAATAATATAAATAATATTAATAGTATTAATATTATAAATCGTATAAATCATATAAATGGTACAAATAATATAAATAATATTAATAGTATTAATATTATAAATCGTATAAATCATATAAATGGTACAAATAATATAAATAATATTAATAGTATTAATATTATAAATCGTATAAATCATATAAATGGTACAAATAATATAAATAATATTAATAGTATTAATATTATAAATCGTATAAATCATATAAATGGTACAAATAATATAAATAATATTAATAGTATTAATATTATAAATCGTATAAATCATATAAATGGTACAAATAATATAAATAATATTAATAGTATTAATATTATAAATCGTATAAATCATATAAATGGTACAAATAATATAAATAATATTAATAGTATTAATATTATAAATCGTATAAATCATATAAATGGTACAAATAATATAAATAATATTAATAGTATTAATATTATAAATCGTATAAATCATATAAATGGTACAAATAATATAAATAATATTAATAGTATTAATATTATAAATCGTATAAATCATATAAATGGTACAAATAATATAAATAATATTAATAGTATTAATATTATAAATCGTATAAATCATATAAATGGTACAAATAATATAAATAATATTAATAGTATTAATATTATAAATCGTATAAATCATATAAATGGTACAAATAATATAAATAATATTAATAGTATTAATATTATAAATCGTATAAATCATATAAATGGTACAAATAATATAAATAATATTAATAGTATTAATATTATAAATCGTATAAATCATATAAATGGTACAAATAATATAAATAATATTAATAGTATTAATATTATAAATCGTATAAATCATATAAATGGTACAAATAATATAAATAATATTAATAGTATTAATATTATAAATCGTATAAATCATATAAATGGTACAAATAATATAAATAATATTAATAGTATTAATATTATAAATCGTATAAATCATATAAATGGTACAAATAATATAAATAATATTAATAGTATTAATATTATAAATCGTATAAATCATATAAATGGTACAAATAATATAAATAATATTAATAGTATTAATATTATAAATCGTATAAATCATATAAATGGTACAAATAATATAAATAATATTAATAGTATTAATATTATAAATCGTATAAATCATATAAATGGTACAAATAATATAAATAATATTAATAGTATTAATATTATAAATCGTATAAATCATATAAATGGTACAAATAATATAAATAATATTAATAGTATTAATATTATAAATCGTATAAATCATATAAATGGTATAAATAGTATAAATAGTATAAATAGTATAACTAGCATTAATTGTATAAGTAGTATAAACAATATTAATAGTATTAATAGTATGAATAATTTGAATAGTATTAATAGTGTGAATAGTATAAATTGTATAAGTAGTTATTAATAGTATTAATAATATTAATAGTTTAATAATAGTATAATCTTCAATTGGTTGTATAAATTATTGTATTTCATTTGGATATAATTTATTGTATTTTAGTCTATTCTACTTTATTTTATTTTGTCCGTTTTATTTTATTGTAGGGTAGGTGCGATACAAGGTGATCGACCACTTGTAATCTATAAGGAAACCAATAAAATTCATTCAACCATTACTTCGCCAACACATCGGAAGAGGACTGAGAAGATTATGGCTATCGGACCTCAATGAAGCCTGAGAGGATTCTTCAGTGGAGGTTTCCTCGTCATGTCGCTAAAGGAGTCCGCGATATGGACTCCCTGCAGCACATTTGCTTATACAGATTATAGATACTCTGATGGCCAATTCAATAAAGTGAAAAAGAAGGAAAAGAAAAAAATATAGTATAGGAGGTCGCCTTCTTCAAGTCGGCTAACTCTTTACTGGTACTGCTGGGTCATTGGTGACCGCCGACATTTTACCATCATTTTAAAGTTGAATTTCCATACTATTCTTTTATTTTGGATAGGAATGATTGACTGGAAACACGTTTGCTTGCTTTTGTTTTTTTAGTTCGAGTCTATTGTGACCTATTGCTTCGTTTTCATTTTGTAGTACTTTTTGGGGAACCTCGATCATCCGGATCGCCAATGTCCGACTTATTAATTATTTTAATTCGTTTCGCATGATAAAGAATTCAATCTAAAACAATGCATAGCAACTAAATTAATTGTACAATTGTACAGCTGTGAAACTGTCAGGTAGTCGTCTAATTAAGTAACTACATAATTATTCGAACAAAGGCTGATTCGGATAATCGAGGCTCTACTGTAAAAGCTTACTGTCCATGCTTTTTAATTATCGTGTACGCTAGCTAAAATTAGAACTATATTCCGCTGGAATTCGCATTCGTGTACGTTTTTTGTTTTCGGTCTATTATGACCGGTCTATTAGGATCTCTCACATGGCCCCAATCCATCAATAATTTTCATTAAAATCTTTATATCAGTTAAGGGTTGATTTACGGGTAGACAAACGAGTGGACTTTGTGTTTTTTATTTTTCAAACTTCTGTTCACGTGTCCCATAATCGAAGAATAAGTGGAACATAAGAATACAGTGGAACTTCGATTATCTGAACTAATCAAGATTCAAATAACACAGCAGTTATTTAGGTACAGAATGCTAGATTAAATTCTACATTAAAACATTGACTTTTTTCATTGTGTCTTCTAATCTTTAAAGCAACGTATTGCATTGGTTCTGGCATTTATAAGAATTATACTGGGTGTCCCAGAGTTATTGTACAAGCGGGAAATGAGGAGTTCCTGAGGTCATTTGAAGTAACCTTTTCCTCAGCGATAATGCAATCCGCGGCTTCATTTATGAGTTATTAACGAAACACAGTGACCAATGAGAGGCGAGATCAGCTGGTGCGAGACGGCCGAGCCAACGAGTGGTCGAAGTCTAGTTCCGCTGATTGGCTCAGCCGCTTCGTGCCAATTGAACTCCTCATTTCTCGCTTGTACAATAATTTTGGGACACCCTGTATTTCAATGTAGAATAAAAAGATAGGTTATTAAGGTTATTAAGATCTCAAGAAAGAGAAAAGAGAGAGGGAGAGAGAGAGAGAGAATGGTCGTCTGTCTTATACCTAGCGGGATGAAAGGCCCAGCTTTTGCAAAGGTCTGTCGGGTCATGCGATTGGAGTTTTCCCGGTACAGTCAACGAGTGATTAAGGCAAAGAGGGACGATCGAGAAGTAAAATCGGCTTTTATTCAAGCTGTAACAAGTTTCCAACTTGTTACAAGTTTTTAAGTAGCCTATGTAATTCTGTTCTTAATCAATGTTATCTATCTTTTAATTTTATACAATAAATATGTTTTATAAATTTATGTTAAAATGTATAAATGATGTTAAAAACTCTGTCACAGTTTAGTCTGTACGACATACGAGCCAAGCGGTAAGCCGACTTTGTTTATAGTACACGATTATTCATCGCGACTCCTCTTTGTTTATTTTGTCCGCGATATCATCTCGTGCATTTTACTGGAGATTTACATTACTTAAATTGTTCCACAATAACGTCAGAATTAGCACTTTGAAGACTTAAGCGGCCTAGATTGAACTTTCAGGAAACACAATCGACCACCACACTCGAACTACTTATTGCGATATTGAAGGGTTAAAACGAAATATCCGGAACCCTTGCGAGTTGAAACACTTCCACGTATATGTGTGTCTCTTACATTTGTGTGTAGAGGGCCTCGGTATAGTAGGTAAACAAAGTTTCACCCTCAAAAAGATAAAGATAGAAATGCAGGAAAAATGTATGCTCGGAAAGAAGAAAGGGTCGACTAATTCTGAACCGTTTCCCGTGATTTTATTAGACCGTGAGAGATAGGAAAGGCTTGGGTTCGTTTCAGTCACAAAATTGTATAGAAGCTTCTATACAGACAAGAGCAAAGACTGTCTTGACAGTATAATGTATAATGAAAGCATAATGACACCAAGACTTTCATTAGAAGAAAATAATGTCACATGTCGAAGTACTATATGTATTGATACCATTAGTATTAAAAAAGAAAACAGTTTTCATGGACTTATGAGAATCTCGATTATCCGGATCTGTAATGTCTGTAACGTTTTACCGCACGAGCACGTTTCTCATGTACATACATATATCGTTCACGTTAAGACACTGCACAGGCAACACTATTTATTGTACAAACCAACGAAGTCTTAATGTAACACTGTAGCTAAGTAACTGGTCTATTATTCAAACGCTTCTGTTTGTCTAACTAGTCCGGACAACCAAGGTTCTATTGTAATTGCTAATGGAGAAGACCGGACACATTACCAAGCAACAACGGCGTAATAATAACTTCTGACCTACATAAAACTTGTGGCAAAAATGGAGTTTAACAGAGCCGCTACCGATTTCGCTGACTCTGTTGCCGAGATCATTTCGTACAATTTTTGTTAAAAGAAAGTGTTACATTGTGTTACACATTGCGATATCAAAAATAAATTTCACTGCGTACCCGAGTCCTCGCGAGACCGTACTTGCTAGGTGCAGGTGCACCGAAGCTCACGATATCCGCCCACCCCCACTAGAAACGCTACAGGTTCCTGGAATTTCATTTATTCGCCGCAGGTTTATTCGAAAATAACGAGTCTTTATTTTACATGTAAATACACGATATCTACAGAATATTAACTCCAAAAATATACAATATTTCTAGCGGTGATGCTTAATTACGAGTTTATTCTGGAATTGTGTAGCGTACAATATCACGAACGAAGGGATATTATTATAACTCAGTCCCAATCTCCCAACAGATGATCATACAATCGAGTAAGTACCCCTACACGCAATATCTTACACTAAAATTTAACGTCATTAAAATACCCTTAGTGGTATATATATATACGTTGTAAATGTGCTAAGACTGGAATATATAATTAGGCAGCGTTTATTAATTCCTGGCTTGGTCGTAATTAGCTATGTACCAATCGACGCTTTCTTTAATGGCTTGGTCGAATGGCGTGAACTCAAAGTCTGGTAAATATTTCCGCAATTTCGCGTTGCTCGCGGTCTTCTTATATTGTCCATCGGCTGCGGATAAATTATATTCTATTTTTCCTTTGAAATTGAATGCTTGTGCGATTGCTTCGGCCACGTGCGCTATTGTGACTTCTTGGGACTCGTCCACTGGATTAGATTAGAGCGAACAGTTAATTGAAGACCATCGTTTAGTTATACTATACCTTGTGCTGTCTGTGTACCTGATAATATTATTGGCTCCACAGATTCATATTCTCTTAATACCCATATTATCAATTTGGCTAAGTCTAAGCTATAAATAAATTGTCTCAAGGGTTTTCCAGAACCTAATACAGTAAATATCTTGTTTTCGGTATTTCCTTAAAAAAAAATGTACACTCCCTCAGATTACATTCTACGTGGTGTCTGAATACTAAAAAATTAATATGAAACATTTTGTACCAGTTTTAATTAAATCGTAAAGTCTTCTCATCAATCCTGGTATAACATGACTAGCACTCGGATTGTAATTATCATTTGGTCCGAATACATTGCAGGGAATAATACTGGTATAAAGTCTACCATGCTGTTCATAATAGCCTCTATTCAATACATCTATGAGTCTCTTGGCATGACTGTAACCATAATTTGATGGATGCGGTGGGCCATTGTGAACCTAGAAGAAATTTTTAATATAAAGACGGCACATTTATGCATATGATATTAATTAGAATTTTACAAAATATTACCATGGTTTCGTCGATAGGATATGTAGTCTTGTCAGGAAATATACAAGTCGACAAACACGAGACAACTTTAACAACTCCATTCTCATGAGCCGTTTGTAATACATTATCGTTCATGCGAATATTATTCCTCTAAATGTTCAAGAGATGAATATTAATTGATGCAATGTCAACGAGACACTAATACCTTTGATTTCATGTTAATTACCAGGAAGTCCAGATTATGTGTCATATTGTGAAACAAGCCACCGACCATGGCAGCCAAGTGAATAACATGAGTAGGTTTGTGTTTTTCAAATAATTTCTCTGTGCTTTTCTTGTCACTAAAAATTAAAAACACATTTATTTCTGATAATCTACAAATTTAGAAAGAGTTTCACTCTCAGATGGATTCAAGCCTTAAGTAGTTGATTTATAGTAATGTAAAAGATAAGTTACCATAAGTCCGCATCTTTGGAGCTTGTAAATATCCACTTTTCATTTTCTTTTTTATCAGTTCCAATAATATTTTGAATACCTTTACCAACTAGCCCTGTTCCACCAGTTACGAGTATAATTTTTCCTTTTTCAGTCATCTTTCATAAAATCTATAGATAAATAAAAATTTGGATATTAAAATCTAACCTAAACAACATTTAAACCTTAGACCATATACATACATATATATGGTCTGAGATTTAAACAAACATTTTATAATAATACTTTCAATAGTAACATGCAAAAACAGAACTTGGTAGCACTCGTCATCGCTGATCACGTGGCAATATTAGTGTAAACCTAAGAATATGGGTCTTATAAAAATTATTTCACACATTGAAAATATATAGTACATTTGTAGCACATTCATGCGAGAATACAATTAACTTATAATAATTTCGTGACTTACATGTAAGAAATGAAATAGAAAGCAAATAGCAATTCATTAACCAAATATATATATATATATAATTTGCCACTGACAGAACCCGGAAATTGATAAGAAATTACGGATCTAAACGACGATACATAAGACAGGTATCTTGAATGTGGGGTAGCCATTCGTTAGGGGCAGGTGTGGAGTTGCTGCTTTCTGCGCTCGCCACCAGATGGATACCTTCCAATAAGGGATGCCAAGTGTGGGAGCTCCGGCGTTCACCTCTAGATGGATTCCTTTTCCCGCAAGTAGCTGATCCGTCTCAGTTTGAAAAACTGAAAAGCTAGAAAAATCTTATTTACGAGTCCTCTAGCGGACCAGGACGAAACGCTTCTCTTTCTTTTCTTCCTCCAACCCTTCCAGCTGGTCGGATTACTTTATTCTGTCATCTTGTATGGTCAATTGGTGTTGCCATTTTTTGTATAGTTACACCAGCTAGGGATTTCCAGATCAATCTAGTTATGTACCAGAATAACAGTTATTTTTTCTTTTGTACTAAACAAGGCGGCTGACGTTTTCATTTGGTTTACGTTTGTTTTCATTTGGAATTTCGAATACATCTTTGGTGACCTCCACCGTGCAGTTTAGTTTCAGAATACAGAGTTTCCGAGCACTGTTTATAATATTTCATAATATCGTGAGTTTTTCATAATTATTGAGGATTCAGGTACGGTATATTTTGAATATTAAATCATTATAGCTTAAATACATAATATAAATGACTATACAGCTACTTTTTTGTTAATTGTAAACTTATATTATGCTTATCACATTGTATTAATTATTATTTCAGAAATAGATAGCAACATGACTGATTTTAGTAACAGTGCGATTAATTTTACAACTGGTGAATTCTATCCAGGTAAAATATACATTTAATTGTCAATTACTTTAGAGAAGAGATAGTCTACTAATAGATACTTTGAAATGCTGAAAATGTGCTTTTTCAGTGCACTTTACAACTCATTTTACAACTCGAATATATTTGTATTGTTATTTTATTTGACCTTGGTGAATGTATTATAATGTTGGATATTATTTTAAGAACAGTTGATATCAAGACTGAATTTGAAGAAAAACCTGGTCCCATCACTTTCAGTGGAGATACAAGTTTTGTACTCAGTGAAGGTAATGTATATGTTTTTTGAGTAATATTCATTATAGAACTATGATGTAAATATCTATATCTTATTTCTGTGCTATTGTAGTTGTGCATTAATTTTGGACAGCTTTGGGCAGAACTTTTACCAACGTGTAGAGCTTTTACTGTCCATACTTCGAAGTTGGGAGACCAATAATTTTTTTCCACGAACTTTGGTCATTTACCTTTCAAATCTATAAATAAATGGAGTAGTGGTCGTACGTGGGTCAGTCAAACTTTTACTTAGCAATGAGAAATCCTACGCAAGGTTGTCCAAACTGATCCACAAATGAAACATGTCATATTTCCAACTATGTTATTCTTTAGACATACATTTCTAACTATATTTTATAAATCGTCTAACGATTCAAATTTTATTAGCAAATTCAGGGTCAGATACTGATAGCAGTGTGCACCCGCCACCTGTAAAAAGACGTCATTTGATGCAGTTGTGCGATTCGTGGCTGACAAATCCCTTTCTTGCATCATGGTTGGGAAAATCTGATAAAATCCCCTATGGAGCGGAATGCCTTGTGTGCGGGATACCGCTGCGAGGAGGGAAGAATGATCTTCTAAGGCACAGCCACACCAAAAGACATACAGAGTGCATGGTCTTAGCTGGAATGCAATTCTCAGAGTGCATGTCTTCCCACAGTGGTAGTGAAACTAGCGGCATCGAAGATAGGAACTCGATTAAGAAAACAGAGATAAGATATGTATTAGACATAGTGAATCATGGTAGAAGCTTTTATGCGCATAAACAATATTTTCCTATCATTCAGGCAGCGCATGCTGATTGCGAGTGTGAAAGTCTCAGAAAAATGAGACTGAAAAGAACTAAAATTAAGGCAATAATAAAAAATGTTCTTGATAAGACAATCATAGAGACGAGGACGAGAATATTGAAAAAAAAATACTTTTCGGTACTGATCAAGGAAAGTACAGATTTATCTGCCTTATGTGTTTTAGCCCGATACACGCATGAGGGAAAAATAGAAACTTATCTATTGGAATATGTAAATATTCGAAATGCAGATGCAGAGAGCTTATACAAATATTTTGAATTTGCATTGGAAAAATATCAATTGTCTATGAAAAACGTAATCGGGATTTCAATCGATACCGCAAGCGTCACGTTGAAGAAAAAAAAATCGTTTGTTTCGCTGTTATTAAAAAGCAACCCTAACATTGCCGTTTTTCCGTGCATTTGCCACAATATACAGCTGCTTGCTTCCGATGCGTGCGAACATCTTCCCAAAAATTTAGCTAAATTAATGTATAAGGTCTACACCTATTTCTCGCGAAGTTTAAAACGGCAACAGCGATTACGGGAAATACAAACGGAAATGAATCTGGCGATGCAGGAGATGCTTGAGCCATCGAAAACAAAATGGTTGGCAGTGTCAGAATGCGTCGATAGAATATTAGAGCAGTGGGATGCGCTCAGAAACTATTTTGAGAGGAAAGTGCATGGCATGTATGAAAGTGAGTCGGAATCGGATGTAGCAGAAAGCTCAGATATGCCAAGATTAAGTATGATATCTACAGAGATAATGAATAGTTTGCGCAGTTTATACACCAAAGCATTCTTAGAGTTCGTACAATTTTCATTGAATATAATAACAAAATTTAATCAAATATTTAAATCCTCAGAAATCTTAGTTTTCAATGTGTCGAAATATTGCGATCAATTTCTGCAAGAAATAGGCAGTAATTTCATTAAGCACACGGTTCTGGCAACAGCTGAAAATTTAAGTGAAATAGATCCGTTCAAAGTTGAGAATTTATTGCCTCCTGAATCCATTTATATTGGTGGAAAAGCACAACGTACAATAGAGGAAATTAAAGCAATGACGACCGATAACAAAGAACAAAGCAGACTTACCAAATTTTATGAAAGATGTCAAAAATTTTATCAAACGGCATACAGAGGAGCCGTGAAACGATTGCCGATCAACGATGCCTTCTTGAAGGCTCTGGAGTTTCTCGACCCTTCTGTCGCGTTAGACATCGAGAAACACACGAATCAATTAGATTGTTTGATAACTAAATTCGGGGAGAAATTTGACTGGACAATAATTCGAGACGAATGGCACGCGCTTGGATTTTTAACTATCCGTGATAAAGTTCTTAAAGAGCAATTAATGGGTTTAGGGATTCACGCCTTTTGGCAGGAAATTTATAATATGTCTGACATTGGAGCGAAAAGAAGATTCGAAAATATTTATAATTTGGCAATGACGTGCTTATCTTTGCCTCACTCGAACGCAGACACCGAAAGATTTTTTTCCATGGTCAGCGAAATAAAAACTGCGGGTCGTGATCGACTTAAATCCGACACAATTGCTGCATTATGCAGAATCAAATTAGAATTTAAAAATACCGGCACAGTATGTTCGAATTATATCATAAGCGATGACTATTTAAAAAATTTTAATCAAGATATGTATAAAATGGAACAAGTACCCAAAACATATAAAAATCTTATTGGACAAGAGACTAGCGACAGCGAATAATATACATATTTATAAATATGTCTGTATATAGGGTGTTCCGTATCACGCAGCATATGGAACCCACTTTAGGAATAGATTCTACACATAAAAACAATAACAAAAGTTGTTGTGAATGTGAGCAAATACAGTGCGTTAAAAAAGAAACTCACTATAATTGAAAAACAAAGTCAAAGAGGATACAATATGTTTATATGAACTCTGTTTTATTGTTTTCATGTGTAGAATCTATTCCTGAAGTGGATCTCACATGCTACGAGACACCTTGTATTGTATGTGCAATGTATTATATTGTAAACATATTTATTAATACTCATATCCATATATATAATTTATTATACATAATACAAAACATTTTGAGATTGCATTCATTTAACTAAAACAGCGTGTTGTTCATTCTATTCACTTTAGGCATAATGATGATATAAACATTAACTGAAATTTAATGTCAGGAAAAGTTTCATCAATATTTTATCTTATAAAAAGATTACTGAAAATCATCCTTACTTTAACAGTTAATTTGAATCTCCCTCCTTAATGAAACGATCGATAAACTATCGATGGTTTAGTTGAAACAATCGAAAACTATCGATGGTTTAGTCGAAACAATCGAAAATTATCGATGGTTTAGTCGAAACAATCGAAAATTATCAATAGTTTAGTCGAAACAATCGATACTATGTAATATGAAGATAACGAACTGTGAAGTTAACCATAGATGCTTCGAGTTTCGAGCAATCAATTCAGTATTGATGCCATTGATTAGTGTCAGTTTAAATTGCACGTGCAACCTCGGGGAATCTCTGCAAGCTTCTGTTTTGTAGAAATATTAAGAAGAAGCACATTATATTTAATAGAAGATTATAAATTAAATGATCACAATGGCTAGCACTGCAATGAACAGTAATGCTCCGCAAATTCAAATCAAATTTGTTACCAAGCAAGAACAGTAAGTAAACCTTACGATTATTTTTTGTGACAGATACTAAGAGGTTAATGCATTATGCTAAACGCATAAACAAAATACATTTGACAACATACATTCTTTAGAGTAACACAAAACAATTTCAATATTATGTACGCTCGATACAAATATATTTACATAGTTGTTTTATCAATTCCAGATACGCTGTTCCAGATTTTCCATTGTCCGTACATGCGGCTATTGTGCCGAACGAATTAAATACTCTCGTAAATGAACTTCTGAAAGGTATACCGTCTAGAACTATTGTATGAATTTCAATGAATCATGTTCACCGATGAAATGCTTCTATTTGTAGAATCAGGCAGTATAAAAAACGATGTGGAGTTTGATTTTTTGGTATGCTCGCAGTTTCTGCGCTCCTCACTATTAGATCACATAACAGAGAAAAGTGTTTCTACAGAGGATGTAATAAATGTAGAATACATCGAGAAATATCCACCACCGGAACCTCAAGACTGTCTCATACATGACGATTGGGTATCCGCTGTTGCAGTTCGTGAGAAATGGTTACTTTTATAGCTTATCGACATAGAGCGACAATAATAATCCACATAATATTCATACAGAATTATGGTTTTGATAGGATATTAACTGGATGTTATGACAATACATTGCACATCTGGACGTACAGAGGAAAACATCACCTTGTAATTCCTGGTCACACATCACCAATCAAGGCTGTAGCTTGGATATCATTGAACGAAGACACTGCTAGCTTTGTTAGGTAAATCACCAGTAGTAGCATGGGTCTGTTCAAATAATTTCAATCTATAACAAACATGTACACAGCGCGTCACAAGATCAAACAGCTATAATATGGGACTGGAATATCGCAGAGAACTCTGTGGACTGTATACATGTATGCAGAGGTCACGAACGTGGACTCGAAGCGGTTAGCGTTAATTATGACAGTACACTTCTGGCTACAGGATCTTGGGATACTATGGTGAAGATTTGGTCTACAGGTGGATATTAAACAAAAATATTCTAAGTGACTGAACAGCATATAGCATACGATTTATCCTCCTACTGGTGTTCTTAGCTACTCAAGATGAAAACGAAGATGGTGAGTCTACATCGAAACGATCAAAATCAGAGCACGGTAAAACAAGAGTAAGTTTAATACGCATAAATGCGAGAAGCGCTAGTACGATCTATAAATTTTGTTATTATTAGTCTCTCCTATTATTGTGATTTTGTAGGTGCCCCAAAGAACAATGAAAGGTCACAAAGAAGCCATCAGTGGTATAGTTTGGTCCGACAAAATGGAAATTATAACGTGCGCGTGGGACCACACGATAAAAGTGTGGGATTCAGAACTAGGTGGTATCAAACACGAACTTGCTGGCAACAAAAGCTTCTTTGATATAGATTACTCGCCATTAAATCGCTCTGTAATAACAGCGTCCGCCGATAGGCACATTAGACTGTACGACCCAAGGTCTACAGGTACACTCAGAATTTTAATTTTAATTGTCAGTTACTGTGAGTTCTACAAACTAAATGTAATTACTTTCAGAGGGCACGCTTGTGAAAACAGTATTCACGTCTCACACGCAATGGGTACAATCCGTAAAGTGGTCGACCATAGATGAGCATTTATTTATTTCAGGAGCATACGATAACGACATGAAACTTTGGGACACCAGAAAGTATGATAAATCAAATTATTAGTAAATTGTGTAAGGTTTTGATTAATTTAAAACTGTTTGTTTCCAGCCCGAAAGCACCGTTGTATGACCTATCCGGTCACGAAGACAAAGTGTTATGTTGCAACTGGTCAAATCCAAAATTCATGGCGTCTGGAGGTGCAGATAACACCGTCAGAATATTTAAGATAACGCCGCTATAGCGACCCAAAAAATAGCGTAATTTCGAAGATTTTCTGTGACAATATTGTAAATATAATAAAATATCTGTTTAAAGGTACTTTTTCAACATGTTTTGAAGAATAATTAGAATTTCTTATTTAACTTTTAATATGAATTCCTATATCTGTGCTATAATAGCCACTATTATTTCTCGCAAAATAATACAATTTGTTCTTCAATAAAATTTATTTTATACACATCGACGAACAACAATTTTAATTGTAAATAGAAATTGCACAATAAACGGAAGAAAATATCAAATCTGAAATATAAATATATACATTTATTATTATTACTATAAGCATTCGTTGGAGAAATTAAAAAACAATTGTTATTCCATCTTATTATCACTTTTAAAACATTCTTCTAAATAAAAACAGATATTGTCAGTTATTGGATTGCATCGCATTTGAATCTTGTTGCTTGTTCTTTAATCCTAAAATGATGTGCCTAATGCCAGGTATCCAAGGACTGCACAGGCTGGCATGCTGCATCATCAGTGTCAGATGTATCTGATCCGCTTTATCAGCATTTCCCTCTTGTAGCGCTGTAAACAATATTTTCTGTCGTCTCTTTGCATAGTCAAGGAAATACTGCATCCTTGATTTCCATATAAATCCACATAATACCAACCTTTCGACAAATCTAAAATATTCTTACATATAACATCACTTAATTTATCTTCCACCCATGCAGCTTTTAGCGCATCTAATCTTCTTTTCACTTCCTCAGCTTTAGTTTTACTCATATGCTCATCGATTGCAGTTTGTAAACTCGCTAATACTTCGTTCAATGCCCGTTCCTTGTCAATAGTCATTGCACTCGTACTGATTTCAGCATCTGCACTGGAAGGAGGTATCAAAGGAGGATGCGACGCTGTTGTCAAATTAATGGAAGATTGTGGCAATGGTGGCATAGACGTTGACGGACTTGATACTGGAGTCTCTTTATTGGAAGTTTGTGGAGAAGATAATGGAAACGCTACCCTCTTGTTCAATACTCGTTTAGTGGGCGTCGTTGTGGAACTTTGCGTGCCGGAGTATGCCCATTTTGGAGGATCGTTCCATCCTGGATCGTGCCCAGGTAATAGAACCTTTTGCAAAGAGTGGTTTTTATCTGCGACATGAAAATTCACTTATTACACAGGCCATTCGAACGATTGTACACGATTATATTTTTATGCATACGTTTTCACAGTTAAATGTCTGTTAAACTCAAGGAAAACAAAGAAGTATGTTAAAATATTCATATTACTTGTCTCGTTTTCATTCATTCTTGTGGTATAATCTTCCGGTACTACAAAAAAAAAGTATAAACGGGGACGAGTACAATAAAAAATTACAATTTACATTTAATTCTGTATTTGTTTACATCGACATAATCCAACGGATCTGTTCAATATTGAGGTGTCACTAACCCTGCTGATCCTGTAACTAGAATCTAGTTATCTTGCGCGCTGTGATTGCGCAGGTTCGCAACATTTCGATCTTCAATTTGAATTCAAAATCGGATTAAAACGATAAACTTGCATTCGTGGCTGAAAATAGAATAAATTTGCGACTTGATAATATTACACGATATAATTTCGACAAAGTCACTGCGACGTTATGAGCGACGTGAAAAGCACGAATCATTAAGTGAACAATGGATCATTAGATCATAAGATAATGGATCATCACATTAAGCCTGGATCAGTAGATGATATTTTTCGAATCTGTTGGGCTCGAATTGCCCGAGCTCCGTGCATCGATCAATTTTACACGAAGCAGATGAACTAGTACAGATTATAAATCACGAATACTAAAGTGTGTAATAAATTATGCACTATTACCTAACGTGACCCACGAATACGATATATATATATTATCGACGAACTTAACACACGAACGCTCTGTAGAAAGCGAAACGTTTTTATGAATCTGACTTATTCACGTAAAAGCTTGCGGTCATGAAGCTCGGCCCTCTGTTCCAACCCTCTAATGTCTACAAAGAGTCGTGGTACTTGTTTTTCTACATGAAACTGTTAGGTAAGGAATCGTTAAAAAAAAAGACAATTCATTAGCTCTCCATCCATCATGCTAACTTTCTCTGTTAACTTTTACCTAGGATTATACCCGATCAGGTTCCACAGATCTCCATATCTGAACCACATATGCGGAATCATAATTCTGCTACCCTACTACTGTCTTTTCAGCAACGTGTTTCATTACACGACACGAAAAATGAATCTCATGATGATCATAACCCCGGCAACTAAAATACGTCAGCTCAGATTCTACACGAACGTTGTTATGTTGTTCGTCGTCGTGATATCGACCAGCCGCCGCTGCGACAAGACGCGAAAGGCGTTCGAGAATCTGAACAGCGTCGACGAAAACATGAAATTCTTGAACGTTTACATCGACTACAATAGATGCATGAGAACCGACATCGTTCAGATCACGACCGTGGCGTTCGTCACGATACTATTCAACTTGATGGATTACTATGGTCTAAGCGACAACAATAGAAACTACATGTACGTTCTGATGTGGATCGCGGATCGAACGCCGGATTTCGTTAATACGATCGTCTTATGCTCCTTCGCCGTGCTGACACGCAAAATCCAATTCCGATTTCGAAAAATCAACGAGCTTCTAGACAGCATCAATGGCGGGAAAAATTTCATCTCTGTCATCGGATCGGACGTCAACAATGGTAAATTGGTCGATGAAATTCGGTCTTACCCTAAAAAAATAAATCAATTGAAATTAAATTAAAATTAATTAATAATTAATACAATATATATATATATATATATATATATACTAATAATCTAATATCTATATATACTAATAATAATTAATACAGATTTCAGATTGATACTGTCAAAGGTGCTCCTTTTGAAGCTGTGGAAAACGGTGTCGCTGGTGAACATGGTGTACGGAATTTCGTTGAAAGTTTTAACGGCGTTGTACATTTTATACTTATGTTTGCACATATGTGTCGTGTATAATTGCAGCGATTATAACCAGTATCTGGTAGATACATTTCTGAGCGTACTTTGGGGTTCTTTAGACATAGCGAAATTGGTCTATATTATCCATTTGTACCGTATTTTACTGATACAGGTNCTGTAACTAGAATCTAGTTATCTTGCGCGCTGTGATTGCGCAGGTTCGCAACATTTCGATCTTCAATTTGAATTCAAAATCGGATTAAAACGATAAACTTGCATTCGTGGCTGAAAATAGAATAAATTTGCGACTTGATAATATTACACGATATAATTTCGACAAAGTCACTGCGACGTTATGAGCGACGTGAAAAGCACGAATCATTAAGTGAACAATGGATCATTAGATCATAAGATAATGGATCATCACATTAAGCCTGGATCAGTAGATGATATTTTTCGAATCTGTTGGGCTCGAATTGCCCGAGCTCCGTGCATCGATCAATTTTACACGAAGCAGATGAACTAGTACAGATTATAAATCACGAATACTAAAGTGTGTAATAAATTATGCACTATTACCTAACGTGACCCACGAATACGATATATATATATTATCGACGAACTTAACACACGAACGCTCTGTAGAAAGCGAAACGTTTTTATGAATCTGACTTATTCACGTAAAAGCTTGCGGTCATGAAGCTCGGCCCTCTGTTCCAACCCTCTAATGTCTACAAAGAGTCGTGGTACTTGTTTTTCTACATGAAACTGTTAGGTAAGGAATCGTTAAAAAAAAAGACAATTCATTAGCTCTCCATCCATCATGCTAACTTTCTCTGTTAACTTTTACCTAGGATTATACCCGATCAGGTTCCACAGATCTCCATATCTGAACCACATATGCGGAATCATAATTCTGCTACCCTACTACTGTCTTTTCAGCAACGTGTTTCATTACACGACACGAAAAATGAATCTCATGATGATCATAACCCCGGCAACTAAAATACGTCAGCTCAGATTCTACACGAACGTTGTTATGTTGTTCGTCGTCGTGATATCGACCAGCCGCCGCTGCGACAAGACGCGAAAGGCGTTCGAGAATCTGAACAGCGTCGACGAAAACATGAAATTCTTGAACGTTTACATCGACTACAATAGATGCATGAGAACCGACATCGTTCAGATCACGACCGTGGCGTTCGTCACGATACTATTCAACTTGATGGATTACTATGGTCTAAGCGACAACAATAGAAACTACATGTACGTTCTGATGTGGATCGCGGATCGAACGCCGGATTTCGTTAATACGATCGTCTTATGCTCCTTCGCCGTGCTGACACGCAAAATCCAATTCCGATTTCGAAAAATCAACGAGCTTCTAGACAGCATCAATGGCGGGAAAAATTTCATCTCTGTCATCGGATCGGACGTCAACAATGGTAAATTGGTCGATGAAATTCGGTCTTACCCTAAAAAAATAAATCAATTGAAATTAAATTAAAATTAATTAATAATTAATACAATATATATATATATATATATATATATACTAATAATCTAATATCTATATATACTAATAATAATTAATACAGATTTCAGATTGATACTGTCAAAGGTGCTCCTTTTGAAGCTGTGGAAAACGGTGTCGCTGGTGAACATGGTGTACGGAATTTCGTTGAAAGTTTTAACGGCGTTGTACATTTTATACTTATGTTTGCACATATGTGTCGTGTATAATTGCAGCGATTATAACCAGTATCTGGTAGATACATTTCTGAGCGTACTTTGGGGTTCTTTAGACATAGCGAAATTGGTCTATATTATCCATTTGTACCGTATTTTACTGATACAGGTAGCGTAACTTCAAAATACCAGGCTAATTTGTTGGAACGTGGATAATTTGTCCACTCGACGTCGTCGAATTTTTTCGTCACCAATCGGACCTACGAATTTGATTTGAAATGAAGATAAAAGAAAAGAACTATACTTTAAATACAGATAAAAAAGAAGTATTTGAAATAACGATAAAAAAAGAAATATTTGAAATAAATGAGAAAAAGAAGTATTTGAAATAAATGTAAAAAGGAAGTGTTCGAAATAGTGATAAAAGAGAACTATTCGAAATGAAAATAAAATTGCTACGGAAGTTTTCAAATGATGCGCTGACGTATGCGCCAACCAATTGGCTGGAAACTAAAAATGTTTCAACGTGTGCATGCTTTCACTTTGAAAGACCGACGTGTCCCACGAAATGTTTAACGTGTTTTTTCGTTGCTTCGTCGGATCTTAAGATTTTCTTCGTCAATAAAATTACTGGACCAACGAGAAACGTGTCTTCGTTTAATTATCCCTTTGAACATGTTCCAATTTTTATCATGACGTGTCTCGTCAGCGTGCATTGGGCGCATGCGCAATGCCACCTTACGTGGCATCGGCAACAATCACTATTGCAGCGAAATACATTTTCTTCATTTTACTGTAAACAGTTGTGGAAATATTCGCTTTTGTTATGGTTCAAATACGTACAATGACACAACGTAAGTACGCAAGATTTTCCGTGCAACTATCGCCGGACCCTCGCGTTCGCGTGGCTCGTTCGTTAAACGCGATTCGTGTGCAAAATGGCTAATTCCCTTTTTATCGTTCGGTAAAGCAACAGAAGATTCGAATAATTGATCGTCGATTAGTGACAATACTTTTCAACAGTCAACAGAAACGTTTTACGCGTGATCAGCGTTCGCAGCCCATGGAGATTGTACAGAGATTTCCGTATAGGTTATCTTACGCTGTCAATGTGTAGCATATTTTGAACGTTTCCTACTGATTTACAAACTTTCGGTCATGCCAACGAACAGTCTGTTGGCACTTTAACACGTATCATGTTTGTACGTTCAACAAACCTATCGAATTTCCTAAATACGTTATTTTGGAGAATTGTAGCTCTCTCATACCTGTGCTTACTTTGTACAATCTGTTCACATTTTTTTGAAACATTGTACGTTTGTGTGTCTTTACAAACAGATTGAGCATTAAGCATAATTTATACACTTGTGTATTACAATTAGAAAGAAGAATTTCCAATGTAGAAACTGATTCAGAAAATTCACGTTTATCTGTAGACAAAAATAGTCCATATCTATGCCTTCATGAATACGTATGACAGTGTTTGTAGACATATAAGTGTCAAGATAAATGTCAAATCAAAAGTGTTGTTACCTGTACCGATCTTACATAGGATTTTTTGACTTTTGACATATATTAGATAATAGTGAAACTACATTCGAACAGTTAAAGTTAAATGAGTTTATTCTGAAAGTATTATATTTATAAATTCATTAATAATTCATTGAGAACACATCATGATATAATCTAATTACATTTCGCATGTTCATGCGACATGTAAATTCCATGTGAACAGAATATATTATCCTTCAGGAAATACTCAGTTTGAACCATCAACAAACAATCCACACATGATGCCATCGTCAACCGGTCAAAACAATATAGTTAATCAAATCTCCAACATGTCCTTGGGAGATCAACAAAGACCACCGTCTGCAGTAATTAATCTTGAATGAAATAGCAGTAATGACAACATTATTATTTGATAATGATACTACTGAATATATTGTAGAATTTTCCTCCGCCACCTTTACCTGGGAAAAGTAGTCCACCGATGTCTATACCTGCAAATATCAATAGATTTAACAATGCTCTAGATACATCAACGCCTGGAGCTGGTTAGTATACAGAGAGAATGATCGAATGATATTTATATATTAATACTATGTGTATTTAATTTCAGCAGGGCCTATTGGACAAACTGATCCTGGTGGAAACCCTGTATCAACGATTTCTGGGCAAGATCTACAGCTGAAAGCAGGTTTAAAAAATCCTTCCACATTTCAGTCTGGTTTCCCTTTCTCTGGACATTCTATGGAATCTAATCTCGGACAATACTATCCCGGCCAAAATGCATCGCCTGAACAAGGATTTAACGCAAGATTACCTAATCAAAGTGGTCAAAGAAACGTCGTTGACGCAGCCCCTGGACAACCGAATTTCCCAAGACCACCACCAACGGGACAGAAATCGGTTCCACCTTTGCCAAGCCAGCCGAGCATGCCTAATCTGCCGATGCAGGCACCGCCACCGAGCTCTAATTCGCCTTTGCCAAGGCACCAAAATCTGCCTACCCCGTTAATGCCGCTTCAACCACATTTATCTGGACCTCCATTACCGAATCAACAAAATCAAAATAATGCAGCTCCGCAAGGAGTACACGGGCAACAGACTCTATCTGGACCGCCTCCGATATCCAAGCAGAATTTATCGCAGAACTTAGCTCAGTCGAATTTGCCTGCTCATCTCTCAGGGCCTCCTTTACCTGGACAACAGTACCCACCGATGCAGGGCCAGCAGAGACCCGGTCAGTCCTATTCAGACTACTCGAACGTGACGTCGTACAATTTACATGGCCAATCCAATCTCCCTGGTCCTCCTTTGATGGGTCAACAATCCATGCCCCCGCCTCCGATGTCCAGCCAACAAAATCTGCCCCCGCCTCCGTTGTCGAGTCAACAGAACATTGCTCCGCCTCTGATGTCAAGTCAACAAAATATTCCTCCGCCGCCAATCTCGAGTCAGCAAAACATTGGTCCGCCGCCAATGTCGGGACAACAAAACATAGCACCACCACCACTACCAGGTCAACAAAATTTTAATAGACATCCGTACATGGGACAACAAAATTTACCGGATCCGCAAGGTCCACCCCCATTACCCGGTCAACCTATGGGACACATGATGAATACCGCTTCGAATTTACCACCGTCAGGTCAGAGACAATACACAACTGGTCCTCCCATGCAGGGACAACCTATGGTACCTCCTTTAGGGCTTAATCGTTCTGTACCCGGTGCAATGGCTGGTTACCAACCTACTGGATACCAAGGCTATAATAATGTATGTTTGTAACAGCTGGATCTACCGTGCTGTATCATGTTAAATGATTTTTGTTGTATTGCAGGATATGTACAGCGCTCAAAGAGCATCATATCAAGGTGGTATACCAGGCGCGCCTGGAGGATACCAGGCCGAAGATGTTCCAACACAACAAGCTAGACGCTTGGATCCTGACAACATGCCAAGCCCGGTAAACAAATCGACCTAAGATGCTTGCAAAATCGTTCGTTGATAGTTCATGCTAATTTTGAGTATTTATTTGTCCATACAGATTCAAGTGATAGAAGATGATCAACATGTCAGGGGAGGTGTATTCGTAACAAATCAAAGGGGATTGATTCCACCATTAGTAACTACCAAGTTCGTGACGCAGGATCAGGGAAACGCCTCTCCTAGATATATTAGGTCCACTATGTACACTGTTCCTACAACTGCAGATATTATAAAACAAGTAATTTAATCGTCGAACGTACATACCACGTGCGCTGATGTTATTTCGTGATGTTTATGCAACGTATTTCATTCGCAGACGAATGTTCCGTTTGGTCTAATAATAAGTCCAATGGCTCGTATAGCGGAAGGAGAGTATGAACCGCCTATTGTAGATATGGGAGAGAATGGTCCAGTTCGTTGCGTGCGATGCAAAGCCTATATGAGCCCGTTTATGAACTTCATCGATGCGGGAAGAAGATTTCAATGCATGTTTTGTAAAGCAACCACTGAAGGTACATCTACCGCCGTGTTTTCTGTAGGATTCTTTACACCACCGTCCCAACTACCATTTCTTTTTCTATTTCAGTTCCAGCCGAATATTTCCAACATTTAGATCATACCGGTCAACGCATGGATCGTTACGAAAGACCCGAGTTAACTTTGGGAACGTACGAGTACCTTGCTACAAAAGAGTACTGCAAAGTGAGTTAACCGGTACTATGATTGCGTCGATTTTGATTTAAAATATCTGTAATTGCTTCTCATTTTTCGTAGAACGATACTTTCCCCAAACCACCAGCCCTTGTGTTCGTGATCGACGTGTCATACAACACAGTCAAGTCTGGCTTAGTCAATTTACTTTGCGCGAAGATGAAATCAATTCTGCGAAATCTGCCGGTCGACATCGGCCAAGCGAAGTCGAACATGAAAGTAGGATTTATAACGTACAATAATACAGTACACTTTTACAATGTGAACTCGTGCCTCGCGCAACCGCAAATGATGGTCGTCGGAGACATACAAGACGTGTTTATGCCGCTTCTGGACGGGTTCCTGTGCGACGTCGAGGAAAGCGAAGCAGTTATAGACAGTTTAATGACGCAGATACCGGCAATGTTCGCGGACACTCGTGAAACAGAAACTATTCTTGCGCCTGCGATACAAGCTGGGCTGGAAGCGTTGAAGGTATTTTTGCTAACTGGATAGGAACGTTGGGATGTCCTATTATGATATAGTAATTCACTTTATGTTTAAGGCTTCGGACTGTGCTGGTAAATTACTGGTTTTCCACTCTTCTTTGCCAATCGCCGATGCTCCTGGAAAATTAAAAAATCGTGACGATCGTAAAGTGCTTGGAACGGAGAAAGAAAAAACGGTATTAGGTAAATCGTTTGTTCATGCGTTGGTGTTGCCATCACAAGCACGAACAGTGTTGATGAAACGATCTCCTCCATTTCAGCTCCGCAGAATAACGTTTATAATAACTTAGGACAAGACTGTGAAAGTGCAGGATGTTCTGTAGATTTGTTCGTTTTCAATAATTCATACGTGGATATTGCGACGATAAGCCAGGTTGCCAGATTAACCGGTGGAGAGGTTAACAAGTACACCTACTTCCAGGTACTACAGATTCATGTTAAGCTGTTTGTTATTTACTATTAAAATGCGTAACAACGTCTCATATTTTCAGGCCGACATAGATGGGGATCGTTTAATCGCGGACGTTATTAACAATATTAGCAGACCAATCGCGTTTAACGCGACCATGCGTGTACGCACATCTACCGGTGTTCGAGCAACCGATTTCTTCGGGCATTTCTTCATGTCGAATACTACAGAGATAGAATTAGCTAGTATAGATTGCAATAAGGTAACTCCAACCAATTCCAGCTGTATCGTATGGCTTGTAAATGTATCGTGTCGTTAACATTTTCATTCTGCATCGCAGGCAATCGCTGTAGAAGTGAAACACGATGACAAATTGACGGATGACGAAGGTGTATATATTCAAGCGGCTTTGTTGTATACTTCTTGCAGCGGAATCAGAAGATTGCGTATCATTAATCTTAGTTTAAAGACATCGTCTCAAATAGCTGAATTGTACCGTGTGTGTGACCTAGACGCCATTTTAAATTTCTTCGCCAAGCAAAGTAAGACATATTGTTACTAATTCACCCACGTACACATTATCAACGGTTGAAACTGAAACGCACGTTCTCGCAGGTGTTTTCAAATTGATCGAATCGACTCCGAAAACTGTAAAAGAAAATTTGGTCGCGAGATGCGCGAACATGTTAGCTGCATACCGGAAGCACTGTGCTTCCCCATCAAGTGCTGGTCAATTAATATTACCGGAATGCATGAAATTGCTTCCGCTTTATACAAATGCATTATTGAAGAGCGACGCGTTATCTGGAGGTACTATTTTTTTATTTCATTTATTCATTGGTCGTCTGCTGTCTATCGTCTATTAACGTAATTGTTTAACAGGAGCTGATATGACTATTGACGACAGATCTTTCGTTATGCAAACTGTTGCTACAATGCCTATCTCAATATCAGTTGTGTACATTTACCCAAGATTACTACCCCTACATAACGTTGATCCTCAAGACACAGAGTTGCCACAGTTGCTACGCTGTTCCATCGACAAGTTTACCGATGATGGCGCATTTTTACTTGGTAAATATGCTATTCATTGTTCCATGTATTTTCATTCCTGGAAAATACCAAGAAAACGTATGTCGCTAATCTGTTATTTGCCTTTTTCTTTTCTCTAGAAAACGGTATACATATGTTCTTATGGCTGGGCCTCGCACTTTCTCCACAATGGGTACAGGCAGTGTTCGGAGTTCCATCGGTGGTCCAAGTCGACACGGATCGTACTTTACTGCCAATGTTAGACACTCCATTAAATAAACGAATAACAGATATTATCGACCGTGTGCGCATGGAGAGGCATCGTTGTATGAGGGTAAGCAATTACAAAAGAAGAAATCACTTTCCAACATCTAAAACTGTCTTGAAAGTTTAAGAATGCGACTACAATTGACCGTCGTATTTTTCAGCTAACCGTAGTGAGACAGCGTGAGAAACTCGAGATGGTGTTACGTCACTTCTTGATCGAAGACAGAGGAACGGACGGAAGTCCCAGCTACGTTGACTTCCTTTGCCATATGCACAAAGAGATAAGAACACTCCTTAGCCAATAAAACAAATCTCAAACGAATCAGTTATATTCTGTTGGAAAAATATCTAGTTTGCTACATGTCCATGGTTGATCGGCCACGTTATGCCAAGGATCAGATTAGATTATTTAACTGAGAGTTTGCCGAGGGAACTCTATGGGAAACATGGATCGTGCACGCAGTGACGCGCACACTGAAAGGAAAGATGGAGGATGTGAAATAAAACTAACGTACATTTATAATATAATACCTACTGGAAGGGCAATGAACATTAAGAAATAACCAATCATTCCGCGATAAAGAATCCGGCTCATGTGAAGGAAAACATCCAGTTGCACTCATACACAGTGATTTATACACGAATAATTGTAAAAGTAAAAATTGTATTATTACTTTTTATTTTAACTAGCTCATTAATGTTATTATTATTATTATTATTATTATTATTATACTAAATTAAATAATAAAAGAAAACTGTATTAAATCATTATAAATTTATATATTAAAAAAAGAACGATATCTTGTGTTAATTGAATAGTACTTCCGCAATTTATGCAATGCGTTATTGTTGTTTTAATATGAATATATACGTTTCTGTATCCGTTGTAAACTTGATTTCACGGGCGTGAAACGAGCTTCGAAGATTACTTTCAACTATATTCGTTTTAAGCATCACTAACAAATATAGCACACTTATGGTTGAACGATTAATAAATTTCTTGTATATGCATTCGTAACACACTCTCGGTTAGCTTGTGATTTTTCAACTTGTTTTTCATTATTTATGTAAAAAACGAAATAAAGTATGTTGTCAGCAATGAACAATGAAAACTGCGTTCAGATGATTGCTTTCTAATAGACTTTTAAGTAGTATTAAGCTTCCGGACAGATATATGAACATTTGTCGAATTACTTAAATGATTGAATGACTTGATGATTTAAATATTAATTTAATTTGTCNTACAATGCCTATCTCAATATCAGTTGTGTACATTTACCCAAGATTACTACCCCTACATAACGTTGATCCTCAAGACACAGAGTTGCCACAGTTGCTACGCTGTTCCATCGACAAGTTTACCGATGATGGCGCATTTTTACTTGGTAAATATGCTATTCATTGTTCCATGTATTTTCATTCCTGGAAAATACCAAGAAAACGTATGTCGCTAATCTGTTATTTGCCTTTTTCTTTTCTCTAGAAAACGGTATACATATGTTCTTATGGCTGGGCCTCGCACTTTCTCCACAATGGGTACAGGCAGTGTTCGGAGTTCCATCGGTGGTCCAAGTCGACACGGATCGTACTTTACTGCCAATGTTAGACACTCCATTAAATAAACGAATAACAGATATTATCGACCGTGTGCGCATGGAGAGGCATCGTTGTATGAGGGTAAGCAATTACAAAAGAAGAAATCACTTTCCAACATCTAAAACTGTCTTGAAAGTTTAAGAATGCGACTACAATTGACCGTCGTATTTTTCAGCTAACCGTAGTGAGACAGCGTGAGAAACTCGAGATGGTGTTACGTCACTTCTTGATCGAAGACAGAGGAACGGACGGAAGTCCCAGCTACGTTGACTTCCTTTGCCATATGCACAAAGAGATAAGAACACTCCTTAGCCAATAAAACAAATCTCAAACGAATCAGTTATATTCTGTTGGAAAAATATCTAGTTTGCTACATGTCCATGGTTGATCGGCCACGTTATGCCAAGGATCAGATTAGATTATTTAACTGAGAGTTTGCCGAGGGAACTCTATGGGAAACATGGATCGTGCACGCAGTGACGCGCACACTGAAAGGAAAGATGGAGGATGTGAAATAAAACTAACGTACATTTATAATATAATACCTACTGGAAGGGCAATGAACATTAAGAAATAACCAATCATTCCGCGATAAAGAATCCGGCTCATGTGAAGGAAAACATCCAGTTGCACTCATACACAGTGATTTATACACGAATAATTGTAAAAGTAAAAATTGTATTATTACTTTTTATTTTAACTAGCTCATTAATGTTATTATTATTATTATTATTATTATTATTATACTAAATTAAATAATAAAAGAAAACTGTATTAAATCATTATAAATTTATATATTAAAAAAAGAACGATATCTTGTGTTAATTGAATAGTACTTCCGCAATTTATGCAATGCGTTATTGTTGTTTTAATATGAATATATACGTTTCTGTATCCGTTGTAAACTTGATTTCACGGGCGTGAAACGAGCTTCGAAGATTACTTTCAACTATATTCGTTTTAAGCATCACTAACAAATATAGCACACTTATGGTTGAACGATTAATAAATTTCTTGTATATGCATTCGTAACACACTCTCGGTTAGCTTGTGATTTTTCAACTTGTTTTTCATTATTTATGTAAAAAACGAAATAAAGTATGTTGTCAGCAATGAACAATGAAAACTGCGTTCAGATGATTGCTTTCTAATAGACTTTTAAGTAGTATTAAGCTTCCGGACAGATATATGAACATTTGTCGAATTACTTAAATGATTGAATGACTTGATGATTTAAATATTAATTTAATTTGTCATCTATTATATAAAATAAAAGTTGCCCGACTCTAAAAGCACAGGTTGTACACCTTGCTTTCGAAGTTTGATAGAGTGACTAAAAAAGATCGTACATCAAAGTTTAAGGGCTCGTTGTAAAGGAGAGGCTTTTATCTTGAAATCTGTGCTAAGATGAGTTGTGAATAAAATTCTCCAGTGTATTTACAGAAGTTTCCATAACATTTACGAGAAAGTGTATGTCTCCAGTTTTCCACCTGTTGCATTATGCAAAAACGCGTTAGAGAAAACTGAACGATGGAGCGCGTAACTAGAAGCTTTAAGCTTTAAAACGAGTCTAGGCTTGTTGTTGTGCAACACGTGTTTACGAAACTATAACAGTTCAAATCAATCGAGAATTTATCAAAAATCTGAAATTCAGTGTACGAATTACTTTTCCGGTTGACTGTACTGGACTGTACGTATTTCATAGTGCGGCGTGCAACTTGTGTGCACGTGTAGGAGCGAACACAATTATTTAGATTCAGTAATTAATGATTAATTATGATTGAAAACAATTTTACCGAATTGAATTTAATATAATATAAACGCACAAGTGCATACATATCAGAAATATCAGTAAAACACGTTGAAAAGAATCTTTAGGTTAGTTACAATTTATTGTTGGTTATGTTGATCTATTAATGTTAGCAATATTTTAGTAGTTAGTATAATTTATTTGTAAATATGGTAATCATAAAAATAAAGAGAAAAACGATCTTGTTTTCATGCGTTATATTATGTATTTTAATTTAATTTTAGAGGTGTTGCAAAATGGAGAAACGGAAAGAGCACCCCGGTACAGAATCGAAAGTTAAGCATTGTAAGATATCACACGTTGTAAACAACGATATTGTAAGTAATGAAAATAATATTTCTCACGATGATACGCAAAAATCTCCAAAAGAAAAGAAAAGGGACAAGAAACACTTAGCGAATGGTAACAAGGAGATGGAGAAACCTAATTGGATGGAAATTAAAAAGAAGAAGAAAGAATTGAAAGAAAAGTACAGAGCAAAGAAATTAAATAATATCTATGAAATAACGATTAAAGCTAAAAAGATCGGCGAGAAGTTACGTAGGTCAGATTGCACAGCATTAGAACGTAAAAAGTTGATTTTAAACACTCACGAATTGCTAAGCTCTCATTACAATAAAGTAATGCTCACGCATGATTTATCTCGTATTATTCAATGGATGATCAAGTTCAGCGATCAAAAAATTCAAAGAGATATTTATACAGAGATAAAACCATCTATCAAAGAAATGATTTTGTCGAAATATGCAAAGAACTGTGTGAAAAGTATATTCAAGTATGGTCCACGAGATGTGAAACATGAAATTATTTCTGCTTGCTATGGTAACATAGTGAAATTCATGAGTCACTCTGTATCTGCACCTTTGATAGAACTTGTGTATACTAAGTATGCAAAAAACACTGAGAAGGCGCATTTTAAACAAGAATTTTATGGTGATATGTACAAACAAGCTAAAGACAATCAAATTAAGTCTCTTCCCGATGTATATAAAACTGCAGAAAATATGAAATCGGCGACATTGACAGCTGTAAAAGGAAATCTAATGAGGATATTAAATAAAAAACTTTTGCAGTTTACACTTGTACAGACTATACTTTTAGAATACATATGCGAGTGTTCAAGCGAAGATAGATCGGAAATGATAGTTATGTTAAAAGATTCCGTTGTAAAATTATCTCAGACCAAACCCGGTTCAAAAATCGTAGTTCAATGCATATGGCATGGCACCAACAAAGATAGGAAATTGATTATGAAAAGTCTTAAGGGAAACGTAAAGACTGTATCTATGTCTGAGCATGGATACTTAATACTACTAGCATTGTTCGACACAGTAGATGATACTATACTTGTAAAGAAAATTATACTATCAGAAGTTCAGAAAGATCTGACAGAGATAGCACTAAACGAACATGGAAAGCACATAATTTTGTATTTAGTAGCAAGAAGAAGCCCTCGTTACTTCCATCCTAATCTAATTACATTTTTGCGACAAGGAGATCACAATAAAGCAAGCAAGAAGTTACCGGACACTCGGGAGAAAGAACTTCGAGATAGCATTTCAAATTTATTACTCGAAACTATAGTCGAAAATATTGCAACATGGTTGTCTAATAGTTCCATTGCAATGGTAACACTGGCAGTTTTGAATGCAGGTACTGGAGAAAAATTGAAGCTAGTTTTCGAGTCCATTGCTGACTACATCACAGATCCTGATTCAAAAATCAAAGAAGAGGACGACACTGAACATAAGATTGTTGAACACCCAGGTTTACATATGATGTTGAAGAAACTTATACAGAATGATAAGAAGTTACGAGAAAATAACGACACCACATTCGGAGAAATACTGATCAATCGTCTAGAAACAAATGTCATCGAGGAATGGATAGAATTTAATAGAGGCTGCTTTTTATTAGTATTTTTATTAGAAAACGAAGTGAAATCGATCACGAATATTCTACGTTCTAAATTGAATCCAATAAAGAATGCTCTGAAATTAAAAACAAATTCAGGAGCGAAAATTTTATTTAAACAATTTAAAGAAACGTTGTAAAATGTGAAACGTCACTGCGACAACCGCGAATTCTGCAGGATGCATAGTTTAGAAGCAACTGTAACAACGTAACAAATGTAAATGTCAGCGGTAAAATCATTCGCTGCAATTTTATTTGCAATACAAGTACATCGTATTCAATCAAATTCCACGATCATTCTATGTAATATATTATTCGTACAGAACTTATACGGCCGACAAATATATTTATAAATATACATTTTCCTATCTTTCTATAAGATCATATAAAAACATAGGAAACCATAAAAAGAAGTATGAAGTACTGAAGCTAGATTTCATCCTGCCGCGATCCTAAATTGCACCATACATTTAGAACGATATTCAGAAAAAAGTGAACATGCACATCAATAACAATTCTCTTATTTTTATCTGGACTACGAAACTATCTTTGAAAGAACGAGCGACTTCATACAAAATAAATATTCGACTGTAATATTATTAAAAAGGGAATCCTGAAGAACGCGACAGGATTAAATTATGCGATAGTAGACAATTTTTGTTATTGTTATACATAGGAGCCATGATTATAATGAAATTTCATCATTAAAAGAACTTTTGCAAATATTACGCTTTTTTTTTTGTATCACTGTTGTTTCAACGTCAATTATCAACAACATTTAGATTAAGTAGTATTTCAAATTTCATTTGATTCTCACAGTTTAAATATTTGCTTGATAATCATAAGCCTGGCTAAGACCTCCGGTTCATTATCATTCGTTAACTGGGGTAGAAACTCTTTGACTACTACACCCGTTTTATTGAAATGTTCAACATTTTTAGTGTCGCGCAACTTTGTGCCAAGGGATAAAACTATATTCAAAGATTCGTTTCTAATCCTAGTGTACGAAATACCTGAAACGAAAAAGTTATTTATTTGAAATTCTTCTGGTAAGTAGTGTTTTCATGTAAAATGAATCTATCTGCAAAATTTCACAATACAGCTTAGAAGTTCACATACCTAGACCGTATCTTAGTATTTCATTCAATTTATCGCAGATCGCGTGCAGCATTTCTTTATCCGTGCTTGACAATTCCGCGCTGTTCATCTTGAGCAAGGCAAGTTTATCCACAAATAAGGTAAGCGATGTCAACATCGACACCTGTATAGATGTCGACTGTGTAGGTAATACTTTTTCAAAACGGGTTACGAATTCTACACAATATTTGTCTAAACAAACAAAAATTAAATATAGAAAGCTATAAATCTCGTGTGCTGACTCCGTTTCACATGTTTACCTTGAGTCTCTTTGCAAGTCGGCCATGATTTTCCAAGAGCCCCATAAACGGTTTCATGTAACTTCAGGATGTCTTCATTTCTCTTTGTTCTCTCGTCAGAGAGTAGGGTTTCGTTGTTATCTTTATTTCCTACCTATGACCGGTTCAGATACAAATGTTGAAATCATGCTACACATTATAGAAACATCGTGTTATACAATTAAATATTTAGGAATTTACCGTTCCCCAAATTTCTTCAAATATATCGCTTATTTCCTGGAACTTATCAATGTCTAGCTCATGCAGAACAGTACCGAAGGCCTGCAGAGCATGACGTCGGTATTCTATAGCTTCTTTTTTACTTTCTCTGTGCAACGTGTCGACTATGATCGCACACATTTCCTGGTCCTCTTTTAGGGCTTGCCTGTAATCCATAAAATCCGTGAGAAAAGTTTACAAGCAATTCATCCTAGATGCAGAAAACATGTCTCTGTCCGTACTTGCTGTTGCTCGACAACGTAGCCAAAGCATTCAGCACCCTTTCCTTTCCGTCCCAAGTTCTTCCACGCAAACCGTCCGTCAACACCTTCAGCAGAGTGTTCCGAACAGCGGGATCGAGACGGTGTCCCAGTTTCTGTGCCAAAGTATGAACCGCGTTGGCGGCCTGTGCTTTTGCCGTCCATGACGGTGACTCCAGAGAGGTCCGCAAAAGTTCTGTTATTGTTTCCAAGTTTTGCATAATTCCGGCTTCTGTCCCGGGTGTTATCTCGTTCCAGAGGTCAGTCCATAACGCGACCATATTTTCATTCTCTGATAAGATATCAATCCATAAATATCGGAAATTGCTTACAAATAATATAGTTAGAGCAACTACGAACCCTGTGTCTTTTGCATGTGCATCGCGAAGAAGGTAAGTGGTATAACGATACTCGAATATTTCTTCAACGTATCTTGATTATGATTATTTATAGCCTGCAGCGTTTGTCCAATCGATAGTTTGGTCGAATCATCTGAAATGAAAAATGAAAAATACGGTATATATTTTCGGTAATTCGACAAAGCTGCGTGGCGTTTAAGAACTCTTACATACCTTTTTCTGTGTACCATGTATGAAGCGTTTTGAACAATTTGTCCAGACTAGATTCTTTCACTGATCCTACTATGTGACCGATGGCGATCGCATAATTCTTCCGAATGATCGAATTGCGATCCGACAAACCGTTCAACAAAGCAGACAAAACTTTACCTGTGCGACAAAATAGTATGACAAATACAATCGGTTGGATCGAAGCTGTCATTGTAATTATAACGGATATACAAATTACCGGCGTAAGGTTGCAATTCCAGCTTATGATAATGACTTAGAAGAGTTACAAAATGTGAACAAGCTATTTTCGTTCCGAATCCTACGCTGGACTTTATTAGCTCCACTATTTTAGGTACTAGCTCTTTTAACGTCTCCGAGTCAACATACTGTACACACTATATTCAAATAAACGTAGAATATTATTATAGTGTAAATCTTCCGTACACTACACATATACATGTACTGTTACAAGAAATCTTACTTTTGTTAACGTATCAGTAGAAGTGTGTCCTTTAGCGGCACTGGCTCTAATATTATCAATAGTCTCCTGCGTTTCCGACGAGGACCCATGTCTGATGCTCAAGTACGATAAATTTGGATTCTCCGCTTCCCCAATCGAAGTTAGAATAGCCGGGATTAAAGTCGCCAAAGAGGATTTGAGCAACGTGCCGGCTTTCGATACCAATTGCGACACCGTTTGCAGGGACACCGATCTCACGGTGTCCACAGAATTAGTTATCCCTGTATCCAACAGTACAGGTAGTATCGCTTGTATGGTTTGTTCTCCTTCTTTGCCGTTGGAGGAGTCGCAGTAACGAATACAGATCTGTGATTCGGTAAAGATTATGAACAACGATTCCGAAAAAAGCTCGCGGAAATGTTAAACGGAGAACTAACTTTGCTGAACAGCTTGGTCGTGTTCGTGGCTGCCAATCTGGTGCCCTCGTGAATGTCGTCCATTACTCGGAACAGTTTTTTCCACAACTCGGGCGCGATTTCCGCGAGATTGAAACGAACATTCGCTCTTAACAGATCTGCAAGCGCATTGCAACAACTAATACGCACTCTCCATTCGTAGTGCGTTAAATTATCAGTTATATCTTTCAATATTTCTTTATGATACTGTTCGATCTATCAAGGCACGAAAGATTATTGTAAATGATTTCTTGCATATGAGAAGTTGGCAGATCTTCTTTCTAGCAGCGGGTACTCACGGCCTTGCTCGTCGAAGGAACGATAATACGCCAGATGTTGGACATGCTCAGCTGAATTTTCGGCGTCGGATCGAACTGATACCTGTACAAACGCGGGATTATACTTGGCAGATACTTGTTCAGCTCGTCGCTGCTCATTTCAGCGATAGCTGCGAACCCGAATGCAGCACCTTTTTTAGAATTCCACATCGCGTTGTGATTCGCCAGGTGCATAAAATAATATACTAAATCCGGTTTCTGCAGTTCCGTGGCTAGGGAACAAATTTCTTTGTACGTTGACAAGCCTCCGCTACAAATCAGATGCTTTCAATACTGATAAATCGAACGAGCGAAGCTTGAGAAGCGCGAGAAAATGTTATACCTCGTGGGCGTTGTTCCCAGTTGACCCTCCTCGAATAATTTTGTATCGGAGGTCACTTGTTTCACAGCTGTGCGACCCCGTATAAATTGATCTAATATTCTCGAAACCAATACTTCTTTTTCCTCCTTTGAGCTGTTAACGTGTATCAAACTGAGTCCTTTCGCTGCAATATCCTGCACTATATCTACAATTGGAATAACGTACATTAGGAAAACATTGTGTAATTATTTTCGGTAAAATTATGAAGCATGGCAGCACTTACTGCTATCGTCCGAAAGAAAATCTACAAACGCATGATGCAACGGCGAAAACCTTTGTTTAATGCACTCTTCCTGAATATTGTATTTCAGAAGCGCTAGTAACCACACACAAACCGCCTTGCAAAGAGAATATTAAGAATGAAAAGACCATTGATTTTAGAACGGACGTTAACAAATGAATACCTGTCTCAAGTTGGGATGCGGTACTCTATACATTTTAAGCAACTCGTCTACCGTGTGTATCAGGAGTTCTGTACTAGAGTTGCTAAGAGGTACTTGATACTCGCTCGGCAGTGTCTCCCAAGCGTTCCGTGCCTGCACGTGTGCCGGCCCCTGAACACAGCACACCAGAGCTTCTCCCAAAGTTAAATGCACTTCGATATCTTTCGTCTGTAAAATCAGTAGAGTTTATTTCGCAGTGCACGGCGATCTGAGTTTCAATATTTCCTAATTACCTCCTTGACCATAGTAATGATTTTGGTCACTATGTCCGTGGTGTGTGGAAAATTTTCCCCTAAACATAAATATCCTAAGGAAATGGCAGCCCTTTCTTTAAGCTATAAAAATGAAAGTTAAATGTGTAAGATGAGGATCAGTGTCTCAATTCATGGATTTCATTTTAAAAATGAACTCAGTGTAACCTTGGCGTTTAGCTTAGCATCAGTCACTATAGAAAATAGTTCTTCTACAAGTTTTTTCTTGTTCGGTTCATCGCCACCAACGTCGGGTAAGGGTAAGCTGTACGTTTTTCCTAGGATACCGATGCTTTCAATCGCAACCTCCATTAGCAGGCGCGAATTGTCGTGAAGAAGAACGCCTGAAAGAGTATTCTCACAATAGAGTTTGAACATGCTTTCGTGGCTGTATGTATTATCGATATACGTACATGTAGATTGTACAATATCAGCATACAGATCTATATTAAACGAGGTCATGGAGTTTTTACAAGAGAACAATCGTCTTTCTATCATGTACGTGAAGGCCAATATCATTCCGTGCAGTTCCTCGACATTCTTCTTCTGTTTCTTGTCGTAATCTTTCGTCAACTTTGTAAGTTCGCGTATCTCGTTCCAGAAGACAGAATCGACCAATGGAGCTGCGATCGCGCCGTAAATTTGAGCAGCTAACTTTCGTATTTCTGGTTTCGTAGACTTCAGCAAACCCAAAAGCCACTTCTCTCGAGTCTCTTTCTCGTATAGATGTGTTAGATATTGCGGAATAGAACTGTCTACTTCCAATAAAGCTTGCAGGGAACATTGATCTGTATCGGAGAAAAATCTAATGTTTAGTGGAACACACTAATGATCAATGTAGAGTCGCAATCGTTATTTCTACCTGCAGAAACATGGCTAAGAAGCAAGATCATATCGAGATAATTGTTCAATATCTCAGGCTGACTTTTATACAGAGTTTCGACGTAACGTGCGATCAACGGTGTACTTTCACAGGGATGTTGTAACGGTTCGTTGCTTACAACCACGTTAGCGCTTCTCGCTAAACAAATTCGGAGATAATTGATTATCTGCAAGAGAAAAGCTTTAATTAGTCACGCGAGATACACGAATCTATTTGAAATAAATTACCTGTGTGAATACAGCAACACTGTACGGAAGTACTTTACTTTCTATGTTAATCTTTCCATCGGTAGAGGTAGGCATCCTAGTCTGCATCTTCGAGTATATATAAGTGACCATTTTTTGAAAATCTGGCAGCACAACTTGATTGGTTTCTTGCGCGTCGCTCTTGTTCTTGTGAAGTGCACCGTACAGAGCCTTTCTAGCTTCTGAGCTAATTTCGTCTTTAGTATCGCCAGCTGACAGTAATAGAAGATAACGGGAAGGTATATCATCTGATGGAAATACATTTGCAGCACAATGCATGGCTACAAATCTGCAATAGGAACAAGGACAGTCAAAATAATGCGTAGGATTTTGTATACATACTTATTAACGTAGATAATCATATACACTTGCCTAACATTAGACTCGGGTGATTCGATGTAAGTAGACAATAAATCATTCATCCTAGTTATTTTACTCTCGTCTTCTTTACTAAGCTTATATGCCGAAGTTACGGAGATTAAAGCATCGCGTACAGCCCTCCGTAAATCACCTTCAGTCTTAAACATCATAAAAAAAATGTGTGAGTTGTGACAGGAAATTTGATTAGCATAACGTACAATCATGTATTATAGGACAACGCCATCTGCAATTAATAGTGACGATGTTTGGAACTATATATCAGAATTTTACGAAAAAGTTCGTAACGAAATGTTTCGATATCTCTAACGTACAATTGATTGTTGTTAATTACTTACAGATACAAGCGTGTCAAATAAATTCTTTAGCATATTCGAATTTCTGGTAACCAATGACGGAATTCTCTGTCCCAATTGTCCAATAATAGTACACGCCATTATTTTGTGGCTATCCTCGAATTCAGAGATTAATTGCATCATTCCTTGTAGAATCAGAGCATCTACGCCAATTAATAGCGCAAGGCTGCACCTTGAAGCAACGCAGAAAATATATTATTGCTGTACATACAAATAATAATCCAGAGTACAAAACAATTAGAATATATTAGGCTTACTGTTGGACAATATTTAACGTAAACTGCAGTGCCATTGATCTCAGCTTCGAATTTGTATCCGTTCCATAAAGTGACTCAAAAATTACCTATGAGTTAATTTATATTAGATATCGTTACACGAGATGTACCACCAAAATACGTACCTCGATGCACGGCATTACAATGTAATCGGCTTTCGTAATACGACACAAATAATGTAACAATTTCAATCGAATTCGGGTACTCGCAGGCTGTCGCTTCATTTCTGGCTTAACTTCCTTCAGAGGGTCACTAGTACCCAAAAATAACGTAACCAGTGGAGTAGCTAATTGCTCCGAAGACCAATCCAATGTACTAAATATTCACAAGAACAGTTTAAAGTACTTAACATAGTCAGCTTTAGTGTATGTTACGAATTACGTGCACATATAAGTAAACCTACTTTACAATTTTCTTCAGTTCCAAATCTGCCATGTTAGCCACGCTGAATCTAGTATCTGCAGCAGCCACTATCAAATGTACGAGGATATCTGAATCAAGGAAAAATCCTCCAGCCAAGAATTTAACAATCCCAAGCTTTGTTTGTTCAATCTGTTCAGCTGTCGGTGGTTTTTCTCCGATTACTCGTTTAAAAGCATATTCACTTAACCCAGATCGTGGAGGAGTCTGCAGCTGCTGTTGTTGTTGTTGTACCCCTACAGATCTAGAGTAGTAATGTTTTATAGAGTTCAAATTGATTGTAATTAAATAAGCTTGAAGTGGAACTATATAGTAAATATTCTTACGCATATGGTAGTAACAGTGTATCAAGCATAAAATCGAGCAGCTGTTTTTGTACGTAAGGTTTATCTTGTAAGCCAAGAAGGGATGCCCGTTTATCTGGATCTATAGGGATATTGATGTGACCCAACACGGGCATTATTATGAGTAACAAACTGAAACATTTTTATAGACATGTTCAATTGTATAGATTATTTTATTTACATTTAATAATAGATTATTAACAAACCCATCTTGATGAAGCAAAGGTTTTCCTTCTATAGCGTTCAACACACTCGGAACTAGGTTGGCTTGTCTTTTCATCTCCATCCTAGGATATCCCAGTTTTATGTATATAATAGTAAAATTCTGCAAACATATAATAATTATTTTGTGCACTATAGAAACTTAATGAATGAAAATAGTACACAGTTGATCCTCCTATATGTTTCTTTCAACACAATTTCTTGACTATATTACGAAGATAACGTACAATGACAAATGAACTAGCTGCTGGATCTTGATATTGCAATAGTAGAGCCTCGACTGGCAGTTGAACTAGAGGCCTGTTTTTAATTCTTTTACTTATATGGATTAATATACCCATCACTTTTTTCCTGACTCCTTCTTGGGAGCTGGATAACTTCAGTAAAACTGGAGGTAGAAACTTGCATATTGCCGTCTGCAATTGCTCGTCGGTTTCTGCTAACCCCACTCGAAGAAACACTCGTTCCAATAAAACTATTAGGAAATAAATTATAGATAAATTAATTTTACATAATGTATCTAAAATTATTTATTAAATATTTAACAATATTACCTATATTGAAAAATATATAGAAAATAAATTGAGAATTTTCAAATTTGATCTATGACATTGAGTACTAAACAAAAGTGTTAACAATTAATAAGATTTGACAACTTGTAACGATTAAACTACTATACTATATGTTATAAAAAAGTAATTATTTTAATTCTACAATTAGTGATTAAATGATATTAAGCCATAAATGGTAGGAAAAAGAAGAATGTCACACAATATCACACAATTGACAAATACAAAAACGAATAGAAAATCGTTAAGAAATAATGTTGAACCGTGAAATCAATTATAAAATTTGAATGAGAGCTATAAAAAATGAGATAAACATTTAAAGTTGCCTTCTGCAACACGGCATGACAACTAACTTTCTTTCTGAGCAATGATATTGTTCATATTATTCTAATCGTTAACAATTTCGATTTTATTAAATAACTCACGATATGTTTAATGATATTAAGCATCATCCGATTGAGAAAAAACATTTAAATGTAGAATAATTTTGAGTTTTTTCGAGATTACTTACTAAGCTCGTCCGTAGCGGCTGCCATTTTGAAATAATGTGCGCAAGAGAAAGCGAATGACAGCGATTACAATAAGAAATACATATCAACAGTTTTTAAAGTCATTGTTTCTCACAATGCTATTTATACTAAAAAATGATTAATGCACTATATTCGTTTTCCTAAATTCAGCAGATTCACATTATAAATGATAATATTTGATTTTCAACATTTATCTTCACAACATTGGAAACATTTAAATATAGAATATGTACATAATAGAACAAAATTTTGCTTTATTTAATATTGAAATATTGTTAAATAGTTTTTAAATTTTTAATTGAGGTATCACAAGTAACTATGTACAATTATACAATTGTTAGTATGTAGTTGTACTGTGTATTGCAGAATTATAACCTAATTTAATATGCAAATGTATAGATCTTGTATAAAATGGTTTTAATTAAAAGTAAGTTAGGATCGTATCATTGCTATTCCAGAACGGAAAGAAAACTATTTCGTTTTTATTGACAAATACCGAGACCTAATGTGTAATTTACATTATTTCCTAATCGAAAAATTCTTTTTCCCTAGATACAGCTCTTTGAAGATTAAAAATTTGCTTTCATGAATTTATAATTCAGATCAAAGTGTCATGTCATTGAGCTCGAAAGCAAAGGCTTTGAATTATTATTTCTAATAAAGATCAATGATTCATATTCATAATAGACTATGTGAATACAAATACAATTGTTATTTTCGACGATTAATCCCGGTTAATCATAAAGATGAATCAACCGATTGAATTAAAGATTTCGTTCAGTTAATGTCCAACGTTATCAGACAATTACATAATTGAATAAGATAATTCATTATAAATTATGAATACATATGTATTTCACGCGAAAGATATATTTAAAGAATGGCTACGAAGTTGCCGTGGATGATCATCCAATCAACAAGTCTGATTTTATCAACTGCAACCTGTCGTCTGCTTTCAGCTGTTATATGTTACCTTAACTTGAACCATGCTTCTATTTTCGTGACCTCCAAACTTTGTCTGCGTCGAATTAGAGGTCAAATTCGAACGAAACGCGTTAGCCTTAAATTTATTACAAAAATAATCCATTGTACAGTGAATCCTATTTAGACACTTGTTCCATAGAAACACGTACGTTCGTTAGAATATCAATTTCTCTGCCCGATATTTACACTTTTCTCCTATTCTCTTGGAATGAGAGTATAAAATTATTTTTCGCATCGAAAAAGTTAGCAGAGTGGTCAGGTATGAAAGCAAAACGAACGGGATCGTTTTCAGGAGAAAATTGTAATATTTGTGTTTCCTAAGAAAGTCGTTGTAACTATTTTACATTGCATGGTTTAGTTACACGAGGGCAAAATATTAATTAGAATTTTCTTTGCATTTATATTAACCCACTATACATATTATGTACCGTTACAGATCAATCATGTATTCATATTATAACAATCATAATAATTCGGTTCAAGTAGCATCGACAAATAATTGTTTTGAAATCTTTACACTATTCTTTTATACAAGCTTGACAACATTATCGTCGTTTGTTTCTTTATGTTTACACGATTGTACTCCATTC